TATTTTCTCCTTCTATGATTCTTCTACTTCTTCTCCTTCTTCTTCTTTATCATCATCTTCCTCTTCTTCTTCTTCTTCGAACTTCTCCTTCACCATCATCATTATCATCGATCAGCATCATCATTATCTTATTGATGTGGTTGTTATCCATTTTCTTCTTATTTTTCTTGTTCTTCTTCTCCTTGTTCTTCTTGTCCTTCATTCTCCCTTCTTTTTCTTTTATTCGATTGGGGGAGCACGTGGCTCCTGTGGCTACGCCATATCCGGGTTCTACCAATATGATCCCTAATAAACAAACTGGCACAACATTAATGAAAACCAATTTTGAAGTTATTGACTTCAAATCTAGTGATGGTGCCTATATCGTGACGTCATGGCCCTCGGAGATTGCGATGCCATCTAATAAACCGAGAGACAAAAACAAAATCTTGCGTCTACATTCTTATAGAAAAAACAAAAAAAAATTCTCATGGTTTGTACTATTTACAATCTTGTGTTACATCACAGACGTCTGGTCTGAGAAGGAAATCCAAAATAGGACCATGCCTAGTAAGTTTTCATTTAATTCCCCCATAGGACACAAATAAATTGTTTTTGTTCTCAAATAATACGAGATGCACATTTTGGGGGAAATGAACGGAGAAGAAAACTGTTGGTTTTATTGTACTTATAATTCTATAGGATTCACTATGGCCACGATAAGAAAAGAAAGAGAAGATATATACTTCTCTCGATATCTTCTGGAGCGTCTCTAGAAAGATATTATCTGATCTAAATTGCTAATTGCCAATAATATCGTGCTCTAATATTAAAAAATTAAAAAATAATTGGCGTTGTCACCCTTCCCCTTTAGATAGACACCTGCTTGAAAATGTGTTCACGATAATGAGATTCTCGTAGCGTAGTAGCCTATACCTGGAAAGTCATTGACAAGTTATGATCTGACGAAATTAAATTAGGAAGGATGTATGCGTGATAGGTTGAGGCGCCAGGTTTCCCATTATCGTTCTCTTTCCAGCACTCTTTCCCTTTCCCCTCCTCCTCTCTTTTCACCTCATTTTTCTCTTCTTCATTTCCCCTTTTTATCATGTCTCTGTCTCTGCTTTCCGAATCTTCCTTTCCCTCCCTTTTGGTACTATCGACCATAGTACCATGGCTATATCTTCTCTTAATCCCTCTGCCATCCCCACTGTCACTCACTCACACACACAAACACTCACCCTCTCTCTCTCTCTCTCTCTTTCTTGCTCTCTCTCTCTCTCCCCCTCTCTCCCTCTCTTTCTTTCTCCCTACGTCCATCTTGCTTTTTTGATTGACTTGCAGAGCACCACACCCTTCGGGGACGAGTCTAGAACCGACAGCACCCGGTCTGTTGAAATGTAAGGTTTTCAAAAAGCAACTTTTTCGTCATTACTAGTCTCATTTAAAAAAAAAATGAATCTCAATCCTATTGCGGCTAGAAGGTGCTACGGTGACAAAATTTGCTCTGGTTAATTTCGTCATGGTTAGGATTAGGGATTGCACATTAACCAACGCTTCACCAATGAAGCTAAATCTAAAGATTAATGTTTTTTTAAGGTAACACTACTAACCCCAATCCTCGCCCTAATCCTAACCCTATCCCAAACTCTAACTCTAACCCTGGGTGCTGAACCCTATTGGTGGGGGCATTCTAAAGTTAAGCCGAAATGAGCTTTGGTAGTAAGAGGCATCCCGGCTCCACCACCATGCCACAATTTAAAGGGATCCGGTAACTTTGTCTTAGATCCTTTAGAAATGACCCTTGCTTTTTTTTTTTTAGGGCTTCAATATTACACCATATCACAGACACTGGTAACATGTAGTACCGTGTATCTCAGATTTAACATTGTTAAACGATCCCTTTAAGATGTTTGTTGTCAAATCCTCTATGTTCAAGTGAATCAGAAGGAGTAGGAGGGACCATGCACCACAGCAGTTTTCGAACATCCGTTAGACTATACAGACATAGTTAAAATTAAAACCATGATATTTAAAATGTGTACATATTTTAATATACAAAAGAAGATGACAAAAATGTGACTTTTTTAATTAGTTAATGATTACAGTGACAGATTAAAAAAATATATATAAAAAACATTCACCAGTGCAAAAAAATTGTTAACTAGAATCATAATTAATATGATTAATAAACACAACACTAAGATTTAGGCAACGAGAAATTGTTAGGCATCTAATCGTTGATTTACGGACGAGTAGTAGTGGGTTTTCATGGGTAGTTTGACACCATTCTTGCGTTTACCCAATAACAGGTGTTGTCAGTCACCAATGGTCACCAAGCTTGTACTTCACAGGTTTGCGTAATCCCCTGTGCCTTATTCTACCACCGTATGGAATTCTCATCATATAATCAAATTCCCTCACCCTAGATACATGTTTATAGGTAAGTGGGACTACAAGGTTCGCTGCTTCAGAGAACGTTTCACACACACAGACACATTCATCTGTAATTCAACCGGATATAGTGTCAGCGAATTATGATGCAATACACATAGGCGCTGAATACTGTATCCCTTTAAATTGAAGAGGTTGAAAACCACTCAGTATTCCATTTCCCAAATATAATCACTTCATTTAAGTGTGAACTATAACGATTTAAAAACATGTATATTTTCATATATAACATTATAATTCGTATAAAAATATATTTTTTCAAAATTTGCTTGACAAGATTACAATTTGAATAGTAGATTATCTATTCAAAAAAGATAAAGTGAACCATTTAGCTTTACTCATCAGAGTGAATCGCATGAATGAACACAAAGCTGGAAATGTAGTATCGTATAGAAAAGTAAAAGAAAAATATTTTATACCAATAACGAGATTTGCTTTGACACGATTACAAAGCTAAAGATTGATTTGGGACTGTTTCTTATAAATTTTCTTTCCATAGAATGATTTTTTTATGAACAAGCCTATAAGATTCTAGGCGAGCCAACAAACTATTCGCTAATTGTTGATTAATGCCGACATGGTTTTGTGCAAAATATGACAGCGTATTTAGGTCCACTTTTTATGTTTGTTAATTTTACCTATTTTCTCCAAAAGGTAATACATTATCATCAACGACAATGTCAACTTGTTCATTGTTCATATTCCTTTCCTGAGAAGCCGTGTTAGAATTTGAAAAAAATGCTATTTGATTAGATTAATTCCTATTTCATCTTGTTAAAACATACACAAAAATACCTACGCATAATTCATGCGTACTTTTTGCGACATTGATACCTTTTAATCCAATAAGTAAATGTAAAGAATAGGTAAGAAATTGAAATACAAGCTTAATGCATAGTTAATTAGAATAAGATAAGTACGAAATTTGATGTGTTCGCAGCCCGAAGTTTTAAAGATCCTGAGAAGTTTCATACTGAGTAATTGACAAAACATCAGTTTTGTTTTAAACCTTTCGCTAAAGATCCGGTAGAAGGAGCTAATGGAATCATCGATACCATGGACATTTAAGTAAAACGTAAACACCTAAACATGGAATTAAACGGGGTTTTCCCCTGAAAAGCCCTTCAGTATTTTAAAATTGACGTCATTTCATTATACGGCCAGGCCGGCTACATACACAGGTGTAATGCTTCGGATGAGTAAAAAAAAAAACCTTTAGACCTTATTCCATCTCAGTATAAAGAATACACTTTATTCTCGCTTAAAGGAATTTACCTTTAAACTTACAAACTTACATTTATTCTCCATACTTTACGTCCCTTTCAGAATCTGTATGATTTTTCGTTCTTCTTACTATTACTTTGTTGTTGTCATCAAACTTTAACCCTACATTAACTGGGGGGGGGTCAATTTGACCCCCCCCCCCTGTAGAAATTTCGCGACTACTCCGAAACCGCGGCAGATATAAAATTTTCCTTTCATGACTTTTTACTTTCGAGTCTTACGCATCTTTTAAAACGATTTTTTTGAAAATCAGACCTACGGTTACAAGGTCACATGACCTTTTGTCTTTGCATGTCAGCCCGAAAATCGCTCATTTTCGTGATTTGTGTACAAAACATATGTAAAAGTCATTTTTCCTAAAAATAGATAAAACATTGGTTATTCAGTCTTGTTTAAAGTTTAGATGTTTGTTTTGGGGTCAAAATAGTTGAATTGTAGTTATAAATGAAATAAAACAACAAAAACAATAAAATACATAAGTTAAAAAAACAATGAAATACATAAGAAATTATAAAAACAAGAGATAACATAAGGAATAACCTGGCTCTTCCGATTTTTTGTGTTGTATTATTATTCCAAATGGTCTAATAAATATATGTAGTGAAAAAGAATACGTAAACATGAATAATCTATGATTTATGGGCAGAATTGTGAATTTGATGACCTTATTTGCATAAATTACCATAAAAATGCAAATGAGTGAATTTTTCAAAAATTTGAAATTACCATAGTATTCTATACACTTCACTTGACATGCATGCGAATTTTCGCGGCGATCGGCGGTGAAACGGCCGAGATCTTAGGGGGGGGGGTCAAATTGACCCCCCCCCCCCCAGTAAAAACCTGGTCTGAAATAGCCCAGTTAAAATAGGGTTAAAGGTGTATGGCATAACTTTACAACTTGTTTCTTCTACTCTGTAAATTTGTCGTACATGGGAAAACATTGTTCTATTACTATGATTTTCCTTAATGTGATGTGAAATAATGAAAATAAACTAAACTAATTACATGTATATCTACAAAAGTCGAATGATGAGACGGTAGCAATGCTGAATGTTAAAACCTCTACTGAAAGACGTATTACAAGAACCATGACCATCCTATGAGATTAGTAACCCGTATACACATAGGTCTACTTCTCGTACAAAAATATCAAATATATAATATTACGAAATCTGTACAAATGTAAAAAGATTCATCGTATATATTTTATCAAAAGGATAAGAACAACAATCTCATAAGTACATGTAGTATATATTTGTTTGAAATTTAAAAAAGAGCTGAATTTAGAGAATAATATATACATACAAACATACATATACAGAAAGAAAGAATCACTTTTCACTTGCTAATACCCTGTTAAGTGCACTTTAAGTACTAGGTTTATAAAGTCACTCAAGGCCAATCTGAGCGCTATTCTAAAAGCGGCCATATGTAATAGTCAGAGCAGAAACAGTTATCGTCATTTCTAATTTTACTGAAGAAGAAGAGAAAAAAAAAAATTCTCCCGATACAACATTACTGTTAAAAACTATAAAAAATATTGCATGCTAAAACCATTTAACTTGTTTACCGATTTACCAAAATCCAGTGTTTTCAAGTAGCTTTAATTCGTATTACATAATGTTACATCATTACATAGTAACTTAAAAGTCGCTCGTAACTGAAATTGGTTCAATAAGTGGTAGGTCTTATACGGTTGACAATATCTTAGACATGTTTCGATTAGGAAGTATGAAAATCTTTATAAAATAAAAGGAAAATGTTGGTACACATGTAACAATGAAATAAAACACACGAAAGAATCTATGAAAAAATGCAGCTAAAAAAAAAGATATAATAGAAAAAAACAAAAGATATGATAGAAAGGAACACATAAACGTTGACGTCATCCATAATGAAAGGTTTTATTTCTGTCCGTACATAGCATCGATCTGAATCTTGTAATGGTCCCTCAGCGCTGGACGCTTCGATTTCATGGTAGGGGTGAGAAGCCCATTTTCCAGGGAGAACAATGTCCAGCACAAATACAGTTTCTTTGCCTGAAAAAAAGGCATAACAATAAGTAGGATAACTAAATGTACACGAAAGTGTGGTTATTTGCTAGAGACAACATTTAAGTATAAATTGCATTTACAGAGATAAACAAAATTGTTTACAATATTAAATAAAAAAGAATAGTCTCATTAAAAAAAAATTTAAATGAATCTGCTGATACCAATTTCATTCTGAGGTTTTTTGTTGTTGATACTTTGCTATCCACTATGCATATACTGAATTTCTATCTTCAGCTCGAATCTGAACAAAATATAACCCATACGGGCACTGTTCTGCTTCCAACGTAAATACAAGTTTAACAGTGATTTCTGAGACTAATTTATTTGCTAACTCTTTAATTTCGTCGAGAATACTTTTCATTTTCTCTTTTCTAAAACTGGGCTCTCTTGCATAAAAATTGCGCTTAAACGCACCGAAAAATAACATTTTAAAAAACGCCGCTAAATTTTCAACAACAAAAAAAAATTAAAAAATCAGGATTTCGTATTTGGGACTTGCGTTTAAAAATTTCATGTGCATTTCACCGCTTACGCAAGAGGCACCACAACATATTAGTAGGGTACCAAAAACATTTTAAGATGAAAATTGTATAGTCTCAAAAAATGGAGATGTTATGTCACTAGCCCTATACTCACTTGTTCAAATGAGTTGAGTCCAGCTTCCTTTCCGATTTTCACACAGTCGTTGAGGATCATCTGGTTGACTTCCTAGAATTTCCAAGAAAAAAACGAAAAGAGTTTAGTATAAAAAAATAAGTCATCTGTTTTTTTTTAATTCCATAGTTGTCTTGCATTTAATGTTAAACTGACTGCAATATAAGTGGACTAGATTATAGACTATGCTATATAAAAAAAATCTGTTCACTTGTATGCGCTGGTGTTACACAATACAAAACATAATCAAGGAATTTATCAAAAAAGTGGGAGGACCAATCCTTCTGGAAAATAATTATGAATTTGGAAATGACCCATCCGGTATTAAAGCATGTTGCCAAGCCTTAGCTCAAATATCCTATGTTGGTGTGATCCTAGTTCGCGCATGACCTCAATTCGCGCGCATTCCATATCTCAGAAAATTTGTAAGGTTTCGAAAATCTTATACCACCAATGGAAATAAGGAACATTGAAATTCCTAGTGATGACCTTTTCTCAAGAACTGGGTGCGAAATTATGAAAATATTGATAAAAGATTGGCAAATTTATTGTGCAGTCTTTTGCGTCCGTTCCGAAAAAAAATACGAACTTTTCGACAAGGGTCTGGAAATCTTTATTTGAGAAAAGAAGACGTCACAATTGTAAGAAGTGGTGCCGACCGATTATATAATATTTTGCCTAGCAATTCTTGACATGTTCTTACTTTTAGCTATAAATCACCTGTTAACTCTCGAGCGCGAATTGTTTCTTTTTTTGCCGCGGTTTGCAGCGGTTTACGGCGACATATCTGGAGGGCCTTTAGTAGACATCTACGTCCAACCAACTTATATCACTTCGTTGAAGAGCATATCGTGGTTTTCATTTTTGCTTTTACCTGTTTTTTGCAGAGTTGTTCAAAGTTTGATCCGAGTCCCTTCGACTTTCCTACTTTAACCAGCACTTCCTCATCCGGCACGATGATGGCGACACAGAAACTCTGAAATAAAGTTTGAAATCGGGGTAAGAGCTAAGAAGTAACAAACATAACAAGCCTCCATAAATTGTTTACTTGTAGGATTTGAGCAGGGAAATTTATATTATTATAGCACCTAAATCAACCTACAAGTAAATAGATAAACAGAATTGAGGAACCACTAAGGTGCTAAATCTTTGTTAAAGTTTACATCCTTCTAGCCTATCATTTAAGTTCTCGGTGTTGGCGTATTTTCCTTTTCCGCTTCCAATTTTACATATGGAAGTTTGTTTGTTCTTTGCGTTGAAGTGATTGTGTTTTCTTCTTTGCATAAGAATAAATTATTTTCACGTGTCGCGTGTGTCTGAAAATTATCTTTCCACTATGACCTAGTAATATCCGTGGACTTAGACTTGTACCAAAAATGAGTATGTTGGTAGACTGTTTCTATCTTCTCTGTGTTGAGAAACTCTTTATAACCCCCCTCCCCCCCCCCCCCCCGCTCGCCAAACTCACGGTTTTCCTTTTGCTTGGTTCCTCTGTATTTAGATCTGTTGTCATTATTTGCTTCTCATGATAATTATTCTCCGTAAAAGCAATAAAGGCACTAACCCTATTTTTTCGGGGGAGGGGGGGGGGGTAATAACGTTTGAACTATGACCTACCTGTAAGCTATCTCCGTGGACATAGACCTGTGCCACAAATTCACTTCTTTGGTAGATTGTTTCTACCTTCTCTGGAGCGACGTACTCTCCTTGCTGTAGCTTGAAGATATTCTTCTTCCTGTCGATGATCTTTAGCGTACCGTTCTGAACAAATGAAATTGAAGATAATTGATATCAAAATACCTTCAAGTTATTTGTTTTCTCGCAAAGCCCAATTTTTGGTTGCTAGATATACATTACTCTTCATACGCGGTTGCAAAGATTTTTATGTCTCTCTCTTTCTCCTCACCTTTCTTTCTCTCCCCCATCTGTTCCTCCCTCCCTCACTCTCTCTCTCTTTCTATCTATATATCACTCCCTTCTATCTGTCTCGCCCTCTCTCTCTCTCTCTCTCTCTCTTCCCCCCTCTCTCTCTCTCTCTCTATCTCCCCTTCCCCAACTCCCTCTTAATCGCTCTTTTTCCCTCCCCCTCTTTATATCTCCCTCGATATTTTCCCCACACTCTCACTGTCTCTTCACTCCCTCCCCTTTTTCTACACTCTTCCCCTCGCTTTTCCCTCTATATGAGGCAAGCAAATAGGGCGAAGAGACTTAGAAATACTGTACGTGACATATTTCATCTCCTCTGATACTCTTTGCAATATTACTGATTCTATTGTGGTTGATGTCTTTTTCTCAACTGGTTTTATGTTTCCATTTTTGATTTGCAAACGCAATGGATTCCCTCGTGTGTTTGTGGGCTGTCAAAGAAATTAGAACTCGATATGTTTTAATTTTGCTTTGTCATAGAGTATCAGCTCTTGATCGGTTTCGAATGCATTCTATAATTGAAAAAGGGGTCCAGTTTGTCAGGGTAAAAAAAAAATGCATTTTAAACCAAGCTTCCATCACGATTATATGTATGACATGTCATGTAAAATGTTGAAGAAACATTAAAAAATTACAAAAATGGGTGATGTTTTTTTTCTGTTTCTCATCTATAATGAAGACATTTTAATGATAACAATAAAATTCATCATAATGATTATAATAACAGTAATAATAATATTAATATTGATGATAATAATAATAGCACTTATAATAATAGTTATAATAGTAATGCTAATGATAATAATAATAAAAATAATAATGATGAAAATAATAATAATAAAAATAATATTTTTTTTTAAATAATGATTAATAGACCTATATGCCTTGTTTATGCATGGTAGCCTACGATGATTACCCTGGTGTTCGCGAGCTACCATGATAACGTGCAAAACCATTCAAGCATTTTCTTTCTACCGCGGAGTGCCCATTTATGGAAAAGTGGCAATTGTACATTGATGTCTTGTCAAACGACATAATAAGTGCCGAATCTGGACTCGAACCGCGAACCATGTGATTTACAGTCCGGTGACGAATCCACGAGACCACGACACCTCTTCCTACTTACCGGCATCCATTTTCCGATGTCCCCAGAGTGCATCCAACCGTCTTCATCAAATGTCTCCCGCGTCTTTTCCTCATCTTTCAGGTACCCGGTGAAGATGTTGTTACCGCGGCTACAAACCTATGCAACAGCAAACAAAGAATCAAGGAAAGCAAAAGATAAAAAGTTATATCCCTTCAGATGAGTAATGTCTAAACATTTAAGAGATACAAATCTATATACCAGAGCACAGACTAAATCAAGGGAAGAAAGAAAGAAAGAAAGAAAGAATAGTAGGATAAGAAAGAAAGAAAAACAATAAAAGAAAGAAGAAACAAAGAAACAAAACAAAAGAAAGAAAAGAAAGAAAAGAAAGATAAGAAAGAAACAAATGAACAAAGAAATATATCAATAAATAAAATTAACCCTCTAGATACGAATTTCCCTTCAATGATATATTTGGGGGAACCTCTTTACCTCTCCCTGTCCGTTCTTGGCGAAGTAGTTCATATCTGGGACATCCACCAGTTTCATCTCGACACCGGGCATGAGAGAACCCACATTACCGGGGGACATGTCCGCAGGAATACCGCACGTTATTACCGCTGTGGTCTCCGTTTGTCCGTAGCCTTCCAGAAGCTGTAACATATTACAAAAGAGAAAAGTAAAAGTAAATATTTGGTGACAGAATAGGAAGTTTGTAATTCTAGAACCAAATAGGGTAAATAGTAGCTTGTAAATGGTTATTTAGTATGTATTTTGTTATTCTAGAACAACATAACACAACAGAAAAAAGGTATCTTTTTGCATGTAGACATTTAGTTATTCTAGAACATTATACACAACAGGATATAATAGTCCGTGAATGGTAATTCCATAGGTATTTTAGAACATTATTATACAACAGAAAACAATAGTCTGTACTTAGTAATTAGAATGAGATTACACAACTCTTTACAGTATTCAGTGGATTTCCCTTTTACGCGGTACTTATTCTAAGACTTTCAAAGCTCTCTTCTAAACAATAAAGTGTATTTGAATAAATGTCCTTTCTGTTTTGTCTCCCATATAACTTAAACATTGCCATTGTATATGCAAAAACAAATATATATTCTCTACAAAATATAAAGAAGAACCGTGATCTTTATATTCTTTCAAAAATATGCTGAGCTGTTTTTATGATGTTGAGCGGGTTCTGTGTATAAAGAACAATAAGTTTTTTTTTTTTTTCACTAGATAAATTGACACATGTACTACTGTAAACAGGTTTGCTTTTACCGCTTTGTCATAATATTTGTTCCAAAACATTGAGTTGTTTTCGTTTCTGGATGATTAAATAAATATAGTCTTTCATTGCAAGAAAAAAAACTCTCCTCATTACGATTAATTGACCCATTTCGCAATAGCTTCATTTCCTAATTTTCAAAGTACATGATCGATCTGACAGTAGCACCAACAAATCTATTTGGTCTAAATACAAAGGTTTATATTACTCTGAAAGAAGCCAAGCCAGACAAAATGTCCGGATAAGATTTCTTCGGAGGAGTAACCAAGTAGGAGACTTCATGCCGTTCCCTGCTTTCTGCTGCTCTCGCCTTACTATATTGCTGACAGGAGGGGCTTTTAAATTTACATCGATCCCATTGAATTAGGCAAAAGGTGAAACAACTGTTGACAAAACGCGAGAGATTTGTTACCCTCATTTCCGCTCGGGGGAGAACGATTCGTCGCCAAGGGATGCCCCATCAGCTTTGTTAATGAAATCACTAATCGTTTCATTTCAAAGATTGTTATCATTCACAATGATATCATCGTCCGTTAATGTAATAAATAGCGATTTGTAAATGAAATGGAAAAGCTTGGTGAACGGTGCGAATTCCCAGTACTCCAAATTAAATGCACTCTCCGTTGTATCGAAATATATCAATTGCACACAATTAGATCCGCAAAAGCTGGAATTTGATTGAGGGTACCCAGTGGTGACTGTAATCTTGAAAGAGAGGAGCCCACCCTTTTTTGTTTCTTGAGGGAAAGCGATAAAGAGAGGAAGAGAGCAGGAGAAATGAAGAGAAGGGAATATATATAGGCCTATATGTATATATATATATAGAGAGAGAGAGAGAGAGAGAGAGAGAGAGAGAGAGCGAGAGAGGGTGGGGAGATAGGGGAGAGTCAGAGAGTCAAAGAGAGGGGAGTGTGTGTGTGTGTGTGTGTGTGTGTGTGAGAGAGAGAGAGAGAGAGAGAGAGAGAGAGGAAAGAGGGGGTAGAGAGAGAAGGAAAGAGGGGGTAGAGAGAGAAGGAAAGAGAGGGTAGAGAGAGAGAGAGAGAGAGAATATAGGGAGATAAAGGAAGAGAGAGAAATGGAGGGAGAAAGAGAGAGAGAGAGAGAGGGAGGGATGGAGAGGGAGAGAGGGAGAGAGAGAGAAAGAGGAAAAGAGAGAGGGAGGGAAAGGGGGAGAGTGGAGAAAGGGGAGCCTCATTTATCGTATTTTTGTCCAATAACCGAATTTCAGTATCAATTTAGTATTCGTTACAGCTTTTTCAAGCAGTTTGACGTGATTCGTCCCTACTACCCATGAGAGGATGGTGGAGGAAGGGTCGAAGCATTAATTCATTTATAAACTTGACCCTTCCCCATCCCCCTTTCCTCTCTCCTCTTCTTCGTTTCGAGGAGGTGTCGTGGTTTAGTGGTTCATTCACGCGACTCTCAATCCAATGGCTGAGGGTTCGAAATCAAACTCGGCACTAACGTCTTCTGGCATGACACTCCAATCCAATCCAATCCGCGAATTGTAGAGCGCCATTATCTATAGTAGCCCAATCAAAAGCGCTAATCACAAAACTCCCCCCCCCCCCCCGGTGTAAATAGGTACCTGGCAATTTAAACAAAAAGGAAGACTTGACTTACCGTTACACCCAGAACACATCGGAAGAAGTTTTTGGTTTCCTCTGTTGTAGGCGCTGAACCGGTCGTCATGAAGCGAATGTTTCCGCCCATAATTTCCTGGAAATTTAAAGAACAAGTAAGTGCTATGAATACAGTTATTTAAACAATGAGAATTCATACTCGACGTAGGCCTTTATATTCACCTACTGCTACTGGGACAAACTGTGTATCCATAAACCTAATTGTTTGTTCATATTGCAAAGTTTCAGTTACATGTCTCTAAAGTATTAAAGCTGGAGTTGATCTTCAAACTGCCAGATAAATGTGCAGTAACACATGATGCTGTTGCATTTTTCTTTTTTTTATTTCCTGGTAGGGCCAGGTTTGCTTTTAGATCTAAGTGCTCTATTTTGTCATGCAAATCCCTATTTCTCCCATGTAAGTATACCATTTTTTTTATATTATCACATTGTATGCTCCACACATTTGTTACCTTACATGTGTCACATTTGTTTTGTTACCTCGGTGTTTTAATAGTGACCACACCATTACATCATCTGACCAGCAGTGAATCAACTTGATTTGCCTATTTGGGAATACAGGGACTGCTGGTGTCAGTGCCCCGCTGTCAACAATAATCTGTCGATACCTGAAGATGTTTCACAAAGATCCTTAGTTAAACTTTACTCTAAGTTGGATTTATGGAGAGCCATTTGTAGCCTTAAAATAAAGTATATTCAAAAGCGAAAATTGAAGTATTTTAGACTTTAAACATGAAATCTCCTTGATAATAGAAAATATGAATGATTTGAATCAACATTCTATGCCTTTTAAAATAACTTTAACAAAATAGTTTCATAGATGCTAATGGCTTTCCATAAATGTTAAGTCCAACTTAGGATCTTTCTGAAACACCAACCCCCCCCCCCCCCCCAGAACTTGCTCTTGTTCGCAATTGAACAATATATACAAAAACAATGACCTGTACCACAATGGTATTATACAAAGGCAGATGATAAAGAAAATAGTAAACAATATAACTTACTCTGAGTGGTTTGAAGATTTTATCCCACTTTGTATCTGTGCGTGTATTGCCCCTAGAGCGATTTAACGAGAAAGCGTCATGTTGTTACGTTTCTTGATGAAATTTTATATCACTGATTAACAATTAATTCAGTTATATGTTGCTCAATCAATCATATATGTTACTGAAATCATGAGTTATTTAATAAAGAAAAAACGCTTTAGGTTCTAGAATACAGCAAAAGGAATAAAGTTTCTATTTGAGCTCAAGCCGTATACAAAATAGTTAAGAGGAATCAAAGTGTTTCGGTGTTAGAAAAAAAACAATGCCATACGATGCATTTGAAAATGATCTTTTCGATATCGATTGACGTGTAATGTGTACGTTTTATTGTTTAAGCGTATTTTACCGCCGGTGCAAACAGGAAATGGTTTGCAGTTGACAATTGTGATCCACCCCATATAACACGTACGAAGTTTGAAATATAACGAACTTTCCTTTACTTTAGCTACTTTACTTTTCTTTTTACGTAGGTTACATTTAATGACGTCAGGTGGAAATTGATTAAAATTCCGTACAGTATTATCTGGAATGATTTATTCACGATTTCGATATGTGATTTATATAAATACGCTGCTGCCCATACGGTTGGAATATTTGATTGCTCACCTCTTTCATGAAATGACTGTGACAGTATGGTTTATTCTTGATAGATAAAGTTTCTTATAAAATATAAAATCTTCTAAAGAACGTTATAGACCAATCTCTATGACTATTTAAACATAAACTTTATCAATGAAGAATATATATCCTCACAATCGCTACATGAAAAGAGGTATGTAGGACAATAATTATTCCAACTTTATGGGCAACGTTGTAAATATCATATCCGACTAATTCACGTCTGTTAAATGACAACAAACATAAAATAAACAAACATATGCACAACACAATATTTTCTCTGCGAAACACAAAAGGGACCGGCTATCGTTGAATTCTTTTAAGAAGATGCTTAACGTTGTAATGAAGTTGAGCGGGTTCTTTCTATCAAACGCAATACATTCGTCGTATTACTTGATAAATGGAGACATTTGCAACTGATGTAACAATGTTTAATTTACCAATATGTCACAACAAATCTATTGTTTTGTTCTTGCTCAAGAATGATTGAATACAAAAATTTCTTTGGAAAAAAGAAAAGAATTATTCAGACTTTAGCAACGGTATAAGTCTCATATCCGACTGATTCACGTCTGTTAAATTACAACACACACAAAAATAAACAAAGAAGAAAAAATAATAATAAAATGAACAACATCTAAATAAAACTACTCACTTCATCAGCAGTGCAAGTTTTTTCTTCCTGGCTAGGTTGAAGACGGCGAATTTTAGCTTGCCTTTCTCTTTCACGCCCTGGAGAAACTGCTCGAAAAATCGGAAAAATATACAAATTCAGATTAGGATACCCCTTTTAAAGGTCATATAAAGTGGTGGTATACCTCCTAAAAACGTTTCGTCACGTTCAAGTTCAGTATTTATTTAATTCCATAATAAAAAAACAGTAACATCAAAATATCACGTTTACATAATTATAATTAACATAGTACAATATCGACAGTAAAAAATAAAAAATAAAAAAAACGTCGAATTTTTATTTTATTTTAGATGAAAAGGTTTTCTCACCTCAAGTGAAATATTAAAACCAAGTAGAGGTAAAAATGATTTAAATACCCTCCTGGGACGTAAATGCTAACAAAAGAGAGATTGGAAATATATTTAGAGTTGAAAACAATAAAAAAACAAAATATTTTCTGTGCTTCATTTCATCTGTTTTTTAAACTAGTCTTATGGGGGCGTTGCAAGAAAGTTGCGATTGATTGCAAGATGCAGAGTTCGCAACTGATATTTGCAATCGATTGGAACTCAACTTTTCTTGCCACGCCCCACTAGTCTCCTAAATTTTCTAGGATTTGGTTCGGATTAAAATTCTAACAATTAAATTAAGCTGACTAAATCTACCCTTTATACTCCCCCTCTTACTCTCTCTCAACCTCTCTCTTTCTTACTGATGGGGTATTGCAAGAGAGTTGAGGTGCGATAGCAAATTTGCAATAATTCGCAAGACTTACACTTGATTTGGGGATTTTCGATTGATTGCAACTTTCTTGCAACGCCCCATTGGACTATTTTATTTTGATTACGGTAAACACCTATAAACGAAAACAAAAAAACAACTCAAGCAAAGAAGCACACACACCTTGTCGTAGATTCTGTTCATGACCCTCGGTACGACAGGCATGATGGTTGGTTTGAGAGCTGCAATGTCATCGGTGAGGAGCTTAATATCACCCGAAGAGAAGCCGATACGACCACCGTGTGCTAGGACTAGTGCCTGCAAGAGAAAGGGCAACCAAATGAAGAGGCTGATTTCCGGGGTGGGGGCAAACGGGCACGCGCCCTACCCCGGACGCATCCAATCTCATAAATTTACAATCAAGATTTTAAAAAATGTCCCACTCATAGTGCACCGACCCCAAAAGCGTCTCCAAAAATGATTTGATATTTTTTCATGAGATGTTAAGACTTGTTACCCCCCCCCCCCCCCGTCATAACACCCGGGAATCATGGATACGTCATTGCAATATTAGTGTAAAAAATACAGTATCGTTGTTAGGATAACGAATTAACAACTTCTGGATACATTTCTTTCATTTACGTAATTACTTCAAAGACCATGCAACCTTTTCGTTCCTGAACTTTGAAAAAAGGCTGTATACTATTTTAAAAACTTTAATCCCACACCTCCACAGATTTGCTATTCCACACGTTTATTTATCCACATGTTCATTACTCCTGGAACTCGAACATGTAAAATGAAATAACATAGGTTTCATTATTCCGAAACAACATTTGGGATTAACAAGCCTCCGAATTAATGAACAGTGGGTTTAAAGGTATAGACCATTGTGTGAAAGAAACGTTGTGGAATTGTTCAGAAAAGGTTGATCATCTAGCAAATAAGTATTGGTGTGTACTGCAATGTTCTGGAATCACTAGAAATTTGGCCCAGCCTTGGTAAAGTTACAAGCACTGTACACAGAAAGATGTATATGGGACTACGCGATATCTATCCAGTCCGGATAGATTTACCAAATATATCAATTAGAAGGCGGTTTCCCGTCAAAATTTGTATCATCACGTATTAGTCAAAACAATTCTTTCACGTGACTGGTAATAAGAGCTCCCATTTCATTTTTTTAAAGGGGGCGTTTCCAAAACTGGTCTATACCTTTAACATTCGGAAGTTCAAAAACATGAATATTCGGAACATACCTGGGCAAATCGTTCATAGATGTGCGCCAACGGTAGATAGGAAAAGTGAGTCTCGTTGCTGATAGGTGCTTTATCCTGTGAAGTGATAAAAGACGAGAACGTTTATTTGTTTTTTCTCTTAATATCATCTAAGAAAGGTTTTCAAACAATTATAAATGAGCGGTATGTTGAACAAATGCAGAATACCCCGCAACACAAGTAACCCTAACCTAAGCGTTGACCCTACAGCGGAATACAACGCAGTGTGCCAGATACAAATGGCAGATTAAAGGTATAAGAGGTGAAAGTGTGAGAGGTTGAAAACAGAGAGGTGTTTCACAAATATCTTAAGTTGAACTTATCTCTAAGTTGGACTTTAAAATTCATGAAAAGGCGTTAGCATCTTTGAAAATATTTTGTAAAAGTTTGTTTTAAAGGCATAACATGTTGATTCAAATCATTCATATTTTCTATTATCATGGGAGATGTCATGTTCTTGGTGTGGAATTTATGAAAAGTCTAAAATACTTAAATATTACATTATAAGGCTACAAATGGCTGTCCATAATATATTTCAGTCCAACTTAGAGTTAAGTTCAACTAACAATGTTTTTGAAACACCCCCTGAAGTATAACTGTCAGAAGGCAAATATCAGAATTGAAAGTGTCAGAGGTAAAAAATGACAGAGGTAAATTTGTAAGAGGTAACAAATATCACGGGGAAACATCTCTGAGATAACAAAATGCCATAGGACAAATGCCAAAGCTAAACATTACAGAGCTAAAAATGTCAGAGGTAAATAATTATGTGAGAAATAAAAATGTCAGGCGCAAAATATCACAATTAAAAATGTCAAAGACAAAAATATCATAGGTGAAATCTTCGGGACAGTAGATATGTAATACATGTAAGAAAAGTTACTCAACTTAAATCACCATTTAAAAGAAGAGAAGCGGCCTTTAAACAGAAAATCTAGGTTTGGATCCAGTTTAGATATTAAGATACATCAATTTTAAACGCTGTCACTCTTTAGCCCTTTTTAAATGGTAATTACTAATAGGTTCGGTACAGTTTTTGATAATTGGCCGTTTCTTTACCAGAGTAAGGTGAAAGCAACCTTTACCTCCCGAACCTCATCTTCCTCCGTTTCTACTTCAAATTCGTTCTCAACAGTTGCCTAGTAACTAGCTTTACCATTGGTTAGGTTAAAGTGTGTCAATCACCGAAATGTATTGTGCTCTCAATGTAAGGGGTTTCATGTTGATATACTGTAGTCAAACTATGTGCTTCAAATATTTCTTCTTGAAACAGATATCGCAGTTCTGTAGTGAACTGTAAAACGCCTTGCTGAATAGACTTAACGAACGCGTACGCACATACCGGCATAGAATAGGGGGCGCACTAATCCAAATTCTGACTTGGGCACCCTGCTATAGCCCCATACGCAGGGTTTTATGCTTTATATACATTATTTTCTTTATACTCCTTATCCAAATAGTTACAGTGCCAAGTAAATGTTTTGGGGTTGATGTTATACATTCTAACTATAAACAAATACTTTTTTTGTTTCAGTTCATAGCTAGATACTGTATTTAAAGGCGCCTGAGAAGGAGGAGAGTCACACCCTATACAAGTTACTTGCTACACTTCTCGCAAAGAGTAGGGTGTAGACCCGGGGGGGGGGGCGTTTCACAAAACTTGTCATCAGTGACAAATGACAGTTTTTTGTTATAAGCTACTGAAATCCTTGCTTCTGATTGGTTATCAGCAGATTTGTCACTGATTTTTGTCATTTGTCATTGAAAAAAGGCTTTGTGAAACGCCCCCCCCCCCGGTGTTTTGTGTGCCTGCATACACAACAGGTAATCTACATCTTCGTGATAGCCCTGTGAAGATTAACAGTAGAAGAAGGCCTTACATTTATGAGTGCCATAAAGGCACTTAGGTTGCTGACCATGTTGTTGTGTGTAAGCATGGCTCCCTTGGGGTTCCCGGTGGTCCCGCTAGTGTAACAAACCGTACATAGGTCGGATCTCTTGGGAAGCTGAAAGGAAGGCAAGAACAAAATAAAATGTTGTTACGTGTGCGCGTGTGTGTAATGTAGTTTTTACAGACGTGTATCAATAAGGTATGATTTTGTACGTCTGGGGACCGACATTTTAACGTCACCATCCGAAAGACGTGACTCAGTTTCGAACTGGGTTCGCCTGAGCTAGTTTGTAGGCAAAGACAGAGAGCTGACCAAGTGAACGTGCCGCTAGACCAACTCACATCTCCCTAATTTCTGTTAGGGACCAAAGGTGTATTTTTATGTGAAAAGTGGCATATCCACAATGGGATGAACTGGTATATGCCTATCCATTCACTGAAAAAAGGGACGCGGCAATACTGTCCTTTGGCAAGACATTAATCTACATTTGTCACACTCAACCCAGGTGAGGTAAATGGGTACCTGGTAGGATTATTTCTTGAAATGCACTGTGCGCTAAAGTTAGGGTAATGATTTCTAAAGCTCTTTGGAAGCGCATAGAGATGTTATTTCATAACATAATTATTATGCGCTATACAAGAACTGCATATTATTATTATTATTTTATCAATGTTAAACTTGATTGTGATTACTGTCATAGATATAGTGGATCTAATCTTGAGCTTATTGAGAAAATCTAACGAAGTATGAAATACTAGAAGAAAGATATAACAGAAATTGATAAGTGATCAGAATTAAACTGATAGAATGTAACATTTTGTCAGCTTTCTTTGTCAGTCATGTTCATAGTGACATGTACTAGCCCCCCCCCCCCCCCGAATCTGGCTGGATTGTAGAATTTACATTCTGAGGGGGGGGGGGAGGGGTGAATTTAAAACAAGAAAATCGTCATCATATCTCATAATACTGCCCCCCCCCCCCTCCAAGTTGCATTATCTTCTTAATGTTTGTTTGCAATGAATAAAAGTAGATATATGCTCCAACTATACATCTAAAACCATCTATAACTTGCATCTAAGTGCATAAAAGTTCAAGTATTTCACATAATATTACTTTTGTCATATATATTATCTTGTATATTTCATCCGACTTACCAGGTCTGGCTGTTTGTTGTTCAATCCATTCTCCTGAATAAGCAATAATAAAATTAACAAAATTAATATCAATAATGTTATTTTACAACAAATACAACAAATTCACTGATCTTACCAGTATTGGTCGGTGTAATGTAATGTTATAATGTTAAAGTCAGTAGAAGAAAGACCTGAGATTTACGTCATTCAATTTTTTTTTTTTAAGATTACCATGACAATAATAATAATAATAAGTTGATGAAAATTGCCGTCTCATTTACTTCGTTGTTAGAATTCTTACTTCTATCTAGGTTAGAATAATTTAATAGCCTTTACACTGTTTTGTCAGCAAAAGACAGGAAGAAACTTAAAACTGTCCAGAATCGAGCCGCTAGATTGATCTCCGGCCTTGGATCTCAGACTTATACTTCTCCAACTGATTACCTTTATTTTGTAAAGCGCTTTTGTACTTTTTTGTTCTTAGCACTTTTAGATGATCGATATTATTATTATTGTAACATAACATACATAATACCAAATTAATTTCGTAAACAAATTTTTGAACCACCTTTAACTCTTAATAGATGTCTATCAAAATAAAAGTACAAGTACATCGTCGCGGAAGCTGGTTCTTTACCTCGACTTCTCGATACTGAAGGAGTTTGACATCCAACTCCTCCGTTGTTTTCCTCAATTCATCTGTGATTGGGCTCATCAAGACGATTCTTTTCAAACCAGGCATCTGATCGGCTTTCTTGAGGAGAAGGCTCGCCCGTGCCTCTGTGTCACACACGACTGTAGAAATTTCAGCTGTTTTGGGGGCGACGTGACGTAATAATTAGACAAAATTCAGTATGTAAGGATGCTTTTGAAGGCCCACTGCACTACTACTACTTATAGCTACTTGCGCCCTCTATATAACAAACCATGCACAATTGGTAACTATTGGTCCATCATGATGCTCTTTTCCTTATGTTAATTGAGAGCTGATTTGATGAGATAACCACCTGTCCAGTGACCTCTCTGTGTGGTCTAATCCCTCCTAGCCAAACTAGTACTGACGGTCTTTAAAGGGAAACAGTCATGCGGAGAAGACATTACTTTCTGTGTGGCGGGTTTCATGCTGGTATACACCCATCAAGATTCCACCTTCAAAGGTTGACTTCTTTGAACAGGCGACGAGTTTCAATACAAGGGACATTTAGATTTGCACGTCGACATAGTAGACTGCTACGTGTAACTTCCAGGCACTGTGACGTCCTTCTAAGGCCCTTTCGATGCCTTAAAAGGACGTCACACGTAGCAGTCCACTATGTCGACGTGCAAATCTAAAAGTCCCTGCTCTCTAGACAAAGGTAAATGAGACTAATGACTTTGTCCTAAGGGTTTCGGATTTCATGCGGGTTCTGCAATATTCAAAATGTCGCCTTCAACTTATTTAAAAAGATAATACATCTGTTAAGAGCCAGAATGTTAAAGTCAAAGCATATGAGTTAACGCCCTCCTGGCTCCAAACAGGAGGTATTGCAATTTGAAATACCCTCTACACGAAGATAAAGGAGGCTTATGAGTAAAATGTCTTCTATATCGATATACAATTTGCTTGGGTTTTGGTTGCGTTTAATGAAGTTATCATGGTATAATGGTTCATTCACGAGTCTTGTCTCTCAATCTAAGGGTTGTGGGTTCGAATCAACTTAAGGCAGTTTTCAAAAGTCATGTCCAGCAGTACCCATCGAAAAATGCGAAAATTACAATGACATAATACGTAATCAAAAACGCAAGTTCTCTGGGATGTACAAGAGGATATACGAATTGCCATTTGAGTTGATTTCTCGAAAGTCTTTGCGATCGTGTTTATTACACATACCTTGGTTGATGATGTACTTGCAAGCATCTGGTCCGAGCGTGTCGTAGAGAGGGATGAGGACGAACGAGAATCGATTGCACGCCTGCTCGGTAATACTCCACTGCAAGGGGAATTTAAAACATCGTGAATTATGTCTTTTGAGATAAGATGATGATGCATCTCCAATTTTAAATTATATTTCTTTATCTATTTACTACTGATATCGTGTATTAGAGAGATTTCGGATCTAAAGTTTTATAAAATTCAAGTAGAGCTCCCCTCTCATTTTCACAAACTCTCTCTCTCTCTCTTTCTCTCTCTCTCTCTCTCCCTCTAAAAAAACACAGCATTGTGGATTGTCCCCGGTTGCGGTGAGGAATAATGCATCAAAATGATTAAAAACAAACTTGCTTGGATGGATAATAATTAAATTAACCATGCAGGTTTCCAACAACTCACCCGGTGTGGGGTGAAATGAACTCCCCACGTATCCACCACTTTCAAATGTCTGAGTTATGATATCAAAGGTAATCTTCTTTTTGTTAATAAGTTAAACAATCCATCGTTTCATAACGTGTAATTAGTTGAGTCTCCATAGACTAATGTAATATAATAATTCCAGAAGCGGTTGGCAAAAACAATAAAAGTTGGCTTAACATTCAAAGCCTCATAGTAGTCAGTGTCCAACTGTCCATGTGTATTGCATTATCATTCGCTGACACCATATTTTATTGAATAACCAATTAATATGTCTGTTTGTACAAAGGGCTCTGAAGCAGCCAACCCGTCGTCTCACTAGAAATTACGTCAACTTACATATATATTTCGAGGGTATTAAAGGACATTTTATTATGATGAGAGTGGTAGGTTCCGGGGACAGTGCAAAACAAAAAGACCTGTCGGCTGTAAAAGTGAAGTCCACCCTTGGAAATTAACAACACCCTTTTTAGGGTTAACACTAAAACGGTGCCAATTTCCCCATGAGAACCCACTACCATGAGCGTTTAATACACCAACTGATTTATTTATTTATAGTAACGCTGCCAGGATTCAGAGATGTGGATGTGGATGGTGGGGGGGGGGGGGGCATTCTTACCCCAATTCTGTTCTGCGAATATAGTCCAATCATAGTCTGCTGTCCAGGCTCCACCCCGTCAGAAATGAGACCAGATCCTAAGTTCCCGGCTCTTTGGTAGATCTGTAGGAAAGCAAAGATATTGTACAGATATGGGTTTTGGGGCTCAACTCACTGCTCCAGTGTCAATTTTCTACGACGATCACAATACCACAATATCACAATTTATTCCTTGGTAGTTTACTTTACCATATCCTTTAACATTATACTCTTACAAAAGGGTACGTGGTAAAAACCAGTAAAATGATTAATGGTTAAATATGATTGACCAGTTTAATGAGTATCTTTCTCTTCACCTTTTTTGATTTTGTAAGCGATGTGATACTTTTTGTTGTAGCTCTCCTAAATAATCAATACTATTATAATTGTTATTGTTATTATTGTCATTTTCATTTTCATTGTTATTATTATTAGGAATGTCGTTTTACTCACATGATCGTATGTAACCCATCTGTATCTTCCCTTGGGCTCGGGCCTCCATCCATAACAATCTCCGTTATCTGTCAAAAACACGAATATATCAACAGTTTTTTATCATTATTGCAAACAAGCTGGCAAAATAATTATGCATACTTTTTAACCAAATGTTTTTCTCGACAACCTGCAAGCTGACTCGATGCTCGCCCGGCATAGCATCAATAAATGTATCAAGACTGGATTCAAAGTATTGTAGTTCATTCCGTTTTTTATTTAATGTTCTGTGTGTGTACTGTGTATTGAAGACTTATCTTAGAAAATTGGAGGAACAATCAAATCGTGCGGATCATGTCCATTACAAATCTTGTAAGCTGGACTAGAACTAAGACAATTCCACATTTCCATATGAGAAAAATCACTTTGCAACCCTAAAACCTCGTTCAGAAATGACGCGGCAAAAAACGAGACCCTTTTTTGTGTATAATACGCTTTACATTTTTGCACTATACCACAGAGGGGCGTTTCACAAAGCCTTTTTTCAGTGACAAATCACAAAAATCAGTGAAAAATCTGCTGATAACCAATCAGAAGCAAGGATTTCAGTAGCTTATAACACAAATTGTCATTTGTCACTGATGACAAGTTTTGTGAAACGCCCCCCCCCCCCCCCCCCCAGAACTAACTAAATACGCACAGGACCTTTTTCGCGCGCAGTTGCCATTCATAAACAGACCGCGGTGGATTTTTTTGCGGCGGCTTGCTGCGGTTTACCGCGTCATAGCTGAACAAGCCTTAACTCTAACATTATATATTTCTATGTCATTGACGGCATAAAGCCCGGTGCAACTGTCGCCGGAGCAAAACATGTCTGGACACCTCTAACCCCTGATACTTACTGGACAGTCTCATGCCTCTCTTGAAGACATCATTGAGGGTTTCCACGCCGTTGAAGAAATCGAGTTCTTGACCAAGCTTAGCTGTGATGGGGTTGACTCGGACATATTCAGTTGTACCCTGATAATTATGAAGAAGAAAAAACACATAGTAATGAACATTCATATACTGGCCTTGGTAAAAGGGGAGCAAGGAGAGAAGTGCCCAAATAAATGTGAAACAAAAAGAAGGAGAGAGACAGAGAGATCGAGAGACAGAGGGAGGGATGGGTAGGAAGACTGGGGGTGAGTGGAAAGCAACATAAAAAGAAGATGGTACTACCGCCTTCCATCTTCTTATATCCTCCTTCTAACTGATGGACTTCTAAACGAATTAATTTAGTACGTCTGATGCGACCCCCCCCCCCCCCCTGTTTGAATGTTTCATGAAATTATGCGAAACTTCAACATTCCATTACTTTTTTTTCTTCATCCGATTTAAAGACTGTCACTGTTTTGTTTGTTAAATCTTTCTCTATTTATTCAATTCAAATTGGAAATGGGTCTGGCCTGCCATGTAAGGCCATAATTCCCACGGTCTATATTTAAATAAAGCATATTATTTGCTTTTAATACCAATACACGAGTGCCCTCTCCATTTATGGGCATACGTTATGCAACCGATGATCAATCCTACCTGTTTCTCGACGGACTGTTTCATCGGATCAATCCGGGGAACTCCCAACCGCTTCAAATGTTCTCTGTGTTCTTTAAATGCCAGTGCCGTCATCTTGAAGCCTCACCTTCTTACCGCTGCAAGATAAAGAGGAGAACATTTTTTTGTATAATCATGACAATCTAGTTCTTACTTTCTATTTTCTCTTCGCTCTTCTCTTCCTCCCCCCCCCCCTCTCTCTCTCTCTCCCTCCCCTCTCTCTCTCTCTCTCTCTCTCTCCCTCCCCCTCTCTGTATCCTTCCTCCCTTACCCTCTCTATCTCATCATCCGTTTCTGTCTACAAGTATCTCTCTTTCCCTCTTTCTCTCTTTGAATGGTACTTGGTAGTTCAGACTTTTTTGTTAATATTAACAGTTAAAACATAACACTCATGTGAATTAGGGAAGCAGTGAGGAACGTATTCTGCTCGCCATTCTTATATAATCAATCGGCCTATTTCGAATCTCCTATATATATCAAACACTGTTAATGCGCCTTGAGCATTTGACTGTCAAGTGGATTTGGCGCCTTATGAATGTTATGTATTATTATTATTATTATTAATGTATTCTGTATGGAGTCTGCACTTTGTCGTTCATAATATTCATGTATTGGTTGAAGAGATAGGTGGAATTTGAGTTGGTTTAGCAATATATTTCCTGGTATCACGCGCAGCGACACAGACAATCGTCTCATACGTCATACCGCATACATTGCATACCCAAATGGAAAATATGAACATATTCACCCTATCATATATTCACCCTTCCTACAATGTGTAAATGAATCTATGAAAAGCACAAAGGAAAAAGGGGCCATCACCTCAAAAAGGGGAGGAGCACAATTCCGGACTTGTGTACGTTAAGGCCACCACTGATCAGCATAGTTATCACTTCGTGAGAAAAATAATAATCGTAGTCGAAATAAAGGGGGAAAGTTCAAACCTTTGCATTCGACTGTGGACTAATCATTGCACATGGTTGCACACAATTGTTTGATATGAATAATCGGTTTCGAGCTCTAAATGCAAGCATCCAAGCAGAACCATACAACAGGTAGATATAAATAGACCATTTTCGGAATGTAAACGAATTCATGCACAAACATTTAAGTGTATCGATACGGATTAGTTCATTCACCTGTTACGAATAAATGAACATGTTTCTCAGTTGTCAGAATTCAAATTGCATATATTAGTTGTTGATGGGTAGGACAAACATTAAGGCTTGCCCAACCTAACAACACGTATAACACTTAAGCATAAATTTGGTAACATTACGAAAATGTATAGAAAATTGTATAGAAATTGATATTCTCATAAATCAGGTATGTGAGGGTGTTTGTGATAGGATTACTGCTTTGAATTATTACCTTTTAAGCACTTTTATCCAGCAAGACATCATAATATATGTAACACGCTGTCAAAAAAAATGCTTTTAGTAGAATCTCGGAAAGGGGCGTTTTTAAATTCTCGAGCATTCAACCTCCAAGAAAACTAGAGCTGAATCTTTCTCATAGTTACGTCTCCTTAAAGGCAACCTGTTGCATATGATGTTTTCTTCTACATGACAATCACTATACATGTGCCTTTTTATGATGGCAAGGACAACCTACCACCAGACAAAATAATTGAAACATAATTCTAGAAATAATTTTATGTAATTTAACTCATTCAATCTTATTTTTTCTTTGCCATTTCGCAAGCGCTTTGTAATTTTTGTATTAACCGCCCCTAAACTTCCGATATACAAAGAATACAAACATAAAATAAAGAATACAAAATATAAGCATTTATGTATTTCAACCAATGTATATAGCTATTTATGTAAAGTTAAATTTATGTGAATTAAGATGCGTATCCAATTTAATTAATCAGAACATGTAATCACTAGGTATCATGTCTTAGATTTATATTATGTAACAATAATTCATGTTTTATATGCCTTACGAGTTACGAAATCCTGTAATAGAGCAATGGAACTACAAATTATTCTAATAATTACCATTATCTTTCCTTAAATTACCAAACACATATAAAGACCGCTTAAGGGAGACAAGAAAGTAGTCCGTATAGGCAAGTGGTCTACATGTATATTGTGTACATGTTTCCTTATCCTAAAATGTTCCGAAGGGAAACGAAAATGTAGTCTTTATAGACAGGGGGTCGCTAAAGCAGGTTTGACCGTAAATACAAAAGTATCTTAATGATGCCAATGTCCACCAGAGCACACATACAAAAACCACTGATCTTAGGTGAATAATTTCTGAAGTATACCTGTTGTTAATGTTATGGTCACGGAACAACAACGAAGTACTTCTAATGGCCTATATTAAGTAAATACCGCTAGGCCTAGGATGAACTTCATCCTGTCATTACAAGGAAAGATCTACGGCCTATTAAGTTGTTAATACTTTTAAGAGTAAATACAGCTTCCGCAATGTAGATTACCCATTTGCGAATACAATCTTACGTTTTTTCCCATTATTTGTTTGTCATTCCAGTTAGTGAATCGTGGTTATTTAAACTATCTTTATTTGGCTTGCGAGTTTATGAGATGTGATGAGCTGATAACTCAAATGGTCGTTGCCAGGTTTTTAATCCGTCAAAATTTGACAATATTATCGTGTTTGCATCTTTCAACGTGCTTCAACATTGTTCAAGAAGCAAACTCTTTGAACGTAAGAACTACTTTACATTACCGCTTTCCTAGGTACTGTAAATACTGTAGTCTTGTATTGATACCAATACCAACAATACCACCACTATATGCCTACGATCAATTAATTTCAATACGACATATTCTCCAGCGACTACCCTCCGTGGTCCTTTTCAGTAGAATTCTTAACTTCAATTTTGAAACCAACAAGTCTAGTAAACTTAACCCTAGATAACGCCTAAAACCAACCTAAAACCCAACCTATTTCTTCAATGAAATAATCTATAGAGCAAAATGGAGAAAATGTCGGATCATCGCCTTCTATACCACATACCACATCATTAGCTGTTGGAAGTAGTCACACAGATACAAGCCCTGTATAATTTCTCCTCTTTTGTCCGCAGAAGGACGAGATACAGTGGTCAATAATCTCTAGCTAAAGACCGGTGGCCATTGTTCGGAGGCTTCAAATATAGGGATAGACTCTCAATAGTCTGGAATCCTTGACCCGTAATGGTGGTGTGCCACAAGGTTTTACTATAGCACCTCTATTGTCTACAATAAGGGCTCCTTTTGTGACGTCACGTAACCTCAAACTTCCATCTACATTCCATTGTAAGGGTAATACTACGTTCCAATTAAACTGCTCTATTACATGTACACGCACCAAAATGAATGAACAATCATTATAATGCACTTCAAGTTAGTTAACCGTGTTTGATTACTTAATATTCTAAACAATGCATTAGTTTGTATAGATAACAGGTACGTTTGTGGCTGTAATGCTGTTTTTTTTTGTTTTTTTTTTAGGGGGGGGGGGAGGTTCAGCCCATAAACTTCATTTAAATAATGATCACTTATTTTCTCTGTGAATTATTTATTTTTTTATAAACTGTTTACGGTTCTCCATTTGATTGGCTTTAGACGATGCAACTTGTTACCCCTTATTTTTTACTTAAGTATTCAAAGAACATAAAATATGATATTTTATTCTCTAGGAAACACGAGGTTGACTTATAATGTCCTATCAGTACGACCAGGGCTGTGTACAATCTTTATTTTCGGTTTTACTCGTTCAAATTTTTGTTCACAATCCTGCTTTTAATATATTGATATTTGGAATTATATATTTTTTTTTTATACAATAGCTCTTCTAGATGATAATGACGAAACGTTTGATTATGAATGACAAATATGTGTATGTGTGTGAATTATATGCATGTTAATATATGTAGACAGTGTGTATATTATATATATATATATATAATACATATGCATGTAATATACACGTAGACACTCTAGCGGATAGAGCCTGCGCTGTACTTGCATGAATCGCAATTCCATAACCATATATAATCAAACGAAGTATAATATTCAAATCTACTCTAAAATCACTAAATGTCCCTCAAAACATCTCTCGTTTTGGATCAAAATAAGAAATGCTTTACCCGGCTGAAGCACCCATCATCACAAAGATCAAGATCAAATATGCAGAGTCACACAGTGTCCACGAATCTATTCATGTAGTGCGTGTGAAATACAAATATCACTTTAGTCCAAGGTCCTAAAGGAATCTGAGAAATATTATTGTATAATATCTCACTTCTCGTGAGATATCACAATTATTGTCAACATTCAACAGGTGAACAACAAACATTCCAACGCCCGCCATTTGTTCACCATTCTGTACGTGTATGTTAAGTAAATACCAACAAGTAAAACTCACATGTCACTGGTATATATGCATATTTATCGTAATACTAGTACTTGAAATATTTACTTACCCTCTCTGTGTATCAATAAGAGTCTGTAATACCTTCAGTTGCCAAAGGCTATCACACAGCTGATGTTATAGCGATAATGATAAAAATCGAATGTTATTAACGTCTACAAAATATCCTACTCTCTGTTATAATATCCAAGAGGTTGTATAAGCAATACTTGTGATAACGTGTGGTGTAGGTGGGCGAATTATCTAGTAACGCCCATAATATAACACACCCCTCGTATTGTGTGTGTTGAAGATGAGTCAATATGAGTGTATACATTTATCTAGACGGAACGGCGTGCAATCAGGTGGTATACCACTATACACACACACACAAAATACACGCCCATTGCAGCGGTACACATGAGCAAGCACGCACAATACTCGAATGCTTTTGCATACTCCCGTGGTATCTTACAGTACAGTGACTGCGGCGCCTATATTAATTAAATTCCATTGGGGAAAGATTTCCTTTTGCCGGCGACAGCCACTTAAAATTTACAGCATCCCCGTTAGGGTTAGTGATAGGGCTATAATAAAGAACAATTATGAACAAATCTTCAGTATTATTCATTATAACCCTATCACTACCCTAACCGTTTAATAGCATGTGAGCGCATGTGCAGGTTTAGCGATCACATGCTGTAAAATTTAGGTGGCTGTCGCAAAAAAAAAAAAAAAATCTTTCCAAAATTGGAATATCGAATCTGGAATAATATGCATTTCTGTATTTATCGTCATAACCTTTCATTCAGGATTGTTTTGTTGCAATTATTATCACAGAACCCAACCCTTTCAATCAACATGATCAATATGGTGCAGACAGTGAGAGATATATGCTAACAAAACACCATTGAAATTCATAAGCACGTGTTTCATTTTTTTTGTCGTGGTCATAACAATAACACCTTACACAATGGGACGTAATTTCAAAGTATTGTTAGCGTCAGTATGACACAGTAGAGAATTTCATTGAAAATGGCCTTGTTACAATGCTTCACCACTTTCCATAATTGACAAGTTTCTAGAATCTTCCATTTCTAAATTCCTATGTCTAATAAATTTATCCATTTTTCAATTATCCGACAATAAACTATAGTTAGTTCAATACTTCCGCTTGAATGATGTGTAGTAGAAAGGACGGGGGGGGGGGGGGTCATTAAGTTTTTATGAAATACGAACGGGTCTATCAGTCATGTATTTTTTCAATTCATTTCCAAGTTTATTTAACACTTTTCATAAAAAAAACATACAAATACGGAATGGAATGATAAAAAATAACAATCAAAATAGTGATAAAAATTACAATGGCAATTTATGAGAGCATTTGGAATAGGCAGAAATGACAGCCTACCCCTAAACACACCGTACAGGGCCGGATAAAGCCATGCCCACTTCGTATATGTCTGCACCCCGCCCATCCCCGGTGTACATGGCACATTGGTTTAACTCTATGGCCCGAATTCACAAGGAGGTTTGTCGACAAACCTAGGTTTATTAGCGTCATATGTCGCGTTTTGACGCGTTTTTACAAACTAACCTAGGTTTGACGTTATGACGTACATAAACCTAGGTTTGTCGACAAACCTCCTTTGTGAATTTGGGCCTGTACGTGCAATTAAATACACGAAATGTGTCGCGAAATTCACCGTGAATTTCTGGCGTGCACCGAACCGTGGGTGCATTTTATTGTTATTTGAAACTGTCATAGAATTCTGCGGTGGGCGTTATGAAAGGAATATAATAGGGACTTTGGATTCTGCAATACGAGAACGTGGACTGCCCTTTTAAGGCAATGTGACATCCTTTTAAGGCATTAGGGACTTTTAGATTGAGTGGACGAGAACACGACGAACGCCGACTGATCATGCGTGTCAACGTACTTAACTGCCCATGTTGACTACAATTAGAAATCTTTTAGATTGCACTCGACGATATACATGCATGCAGGAAGTAACACCAGGGAGGTGAAAGAAAAGGAGGCGAAACTCTTGTAATTTATTCAAACGCATTCTTGAGTTCTAAAGCGTAACAATGGGATGTGTAACATTCCACTTGGCTTTGAAGTTCCATGCTCCGAACCGCGCTTCCACTGCGGGGAATTTCGGAAGCCAGGCACCAGTTTTACATTTATTACAAAATATTAAATTACCGGCAAAATTACAGTGTAAATTAAAAACTTTATATGGGGATTTTATTGGGAATAGTGCATCAAACAAATTTTCAAATTTGGAACTCCGTCCTGCCTTTAAATTGTGTGCCAGAGTTGGTAAAAGAAAAATTACATCCTGTCAAAAACTCAATATTTTAGGATGATGCGCTAATTTGTGCATGCTTTAATGTCCCGTTATTTGATCCATGATTTACAATCTTCAATAACATTAAGTTTGCTAATGCGTGTTTTCGCGTGTTTTTTGTATTTTTCAAGTTTAAAAAAGAATGAAATTACACAAGTTTGTGTTCGCTTGTTCTACTCTTTACACATTCAACAATGGATGAGAAATCATTGGAAGGGACAGCGAACAGTTGCTGTGATACCATTTTCTGATGTAGGAATTCTAAATCCTAAAATTTCATGCGCTCTTTTATCTCACCACCTGGTCAACAGTTGCAGATTAGCGCATAACTTTCCGGCGGCTTGGAGCATGGGGTCAAAGGAGATCGGCTTGATTCAAGTCCTTCTCTATCACGTCCCTGGTAACACTATGAACATCACGGACAAAGAAAGAGGACAAAATATCCTCATTCTACCCTCAACAAAAGAAAATCCCTTCACTGCTATTATGTAAAAATGTGTAGAACAGGTGAATATGCATGTGACATCTGTTCTACACATTTTTTACATAATAGCAGGGAAGGGATGTTCCTTTGTCTACCTGAGGAACTGTATGTTTTATGCGCACGTGGCATACCTTGAGCACCTTGAGTACCTTGAGCATGTAAAGGCGCTATATAAATATCAATATGTATGTATGTACCGTATGTACTAGATTTAGGAAAGTGACCTGCAAATCTAAAAGTCCCTATTGGCAGTGACGTCCACGTTCTCGTCGTGCAGAATCTAAAAGTCCCTATATACTAACACAAAAGTAGTCACTCAAATGTGAATCCATGCGTAGGCATTTCCCATCATGTCGATGGCTTTCAATATCACACGCAGTCTACAGGTGTATCAAACGTCAATCGATAGCTTTTCAATAATTACCCAAACCCAAAAGAAAATGGTTCATCAACACACGCGGTGTATGCAGGTGTATAATTATATAACACTTCGATTGATAGATTCACAATATTACATAAAGGTAGCTTAAATGATTTAAAGGGAAAGTCCACCCCCAAAATAAGTTTGTTTCGATAGAGGCAGAATAATAAGAAAATCAGGTGAGTGAAAGTTTGAGCAAATTCTGAATGAAAATAAGAAAGTTATGAATTATTGAAAATGTGATCAATCAAATACAAATTGGCAACTCTGTGACTTATTATACGAGCTCTCCTTCATTTGCTTTGTGCATAATATTCCATAAAATCATGTTTTCTTCGTTATTGATGACGGAATATATATTTGTTCCTTGCAGGGGGAGTATAGAAACATATTTGCAATTATTATATTTAGGGTGCATGTATGGTTGAAATTTTTCTTGAGGGGAAAATGAAAATTTTAGATTTTTTTAGTACTGAGCAAATGGAAGTTGAGCTCGCATGATACGTCAGAGAGTTGCCAATTTGTGTTTGATTGATCACAACTTCAAAAATCCTAACTTCCTTATTTTTAATCGGAATTTGCTCAAACTTTCACTGACTTGTTTCTCTCATTTTTCTACTCCTATTAAAACTAACTTATTTTGGGGGTGGACTTTCCCTTTAAGCCGTGAGAAAATATCTTAGTAACATTTTTATATCTTAGGGTTTATAAGGAAGACGCATGTTATAGCTGTCACAAAGATTTGCCTGAATCTTGCTTTTCTAGATGTTTGTCATTTCTAACATCAATTAAAAAAGAATCCGTATTGTCTTCATTAATTTCGTTTCCGTAAAGCTACCTACTATTTAATTTGTGTAAATTATTTACAAGATTGACAGGAAAGGTACAAATAGCAGTCTCGTTGTCCGTCAAGGACCCTTGCTGGGCCCTCTCCTATTCAATAAATGGTTTCCAACAAGCCTCAGTCATTCAATCTTTAGTTGAAAACAAGCTATCTATCTGGTATATTGTATTGTCTCGTTATTCTTTTTCATGTCTTTCATTGCACATGACTGAGTAAATATGCCTTAAAATATCTTCAAATGTGTCTGGAACAGTCTTCGCGTTGTTATGTCAACTTCTCTTTTGTCGTCTCGGCAATTCTCCCCCTTAGACCTTCCACTTCTCTGTAGGCGCTCTCAGTCAGCTATATCTGTCATAATAATCGTGTCCAGGCAGGCCTCTCTCTCTCTCTCTCTCTCTCTCTATCTCTCTCTCTCCCTCTCTCTGTCTCTCTCTCTCTACCTCCTCTCTCTCCATGTATATATCTATCTATATCTCTGTCTCTGTCTCTCTATCCCAATCTCGATTTTTCTTTTTTTACTCCTCCCCGTTTCCGTTTCCCCTTTCCCCTGTCGCTGTCTACGCTCTCCTCCCCCTCTCTTGCTCTTTCCGTACACTCTTCCTATCTCTCTCAGTCCCACATCCCATCCTTTTCTCTCCTTCTCTCTCTCGCTCTCTCTCTCTCTCTCTCACCCCCTCTCTCTCTCTCCCTTCCTCTCTCTCTCCCTTCTCTCTCTCTCTCTCTCTCTACACCATCTGAGTATACCTCTGAATGTCATTTACACAAAAACAATCAAAATGATGCGACAGGAAATGTTATCCACCTATTTGTACAATGTCATCTAAAAATAGCTCACAATAAGTCAATCCTGTAAATAGACATTTCTATATTAAGGCTACCGTCGATAGGTAGTTGTGTATAGTTCCGTATCGCAGGTATTTTAAACGCAAGGCAGATAACGATTACATAACAAATCTCCGTTAAGTAAGTTCATTTAGAACAGATCTCTTTTGGATATAGTCTTTTTTAAAGTTTTGAATTTTCATGAAGCCAAGACTCTTGAATATAGGGGCCCAAACTCAACTCTTGAGGGTGCAATTTTTCTGATTTCTTGTAATGTCATAAATGTGATTATCGCTTGATTCGAATGAAATATTTTGAAAAAATTAATGTATCACGTCGTTCATCATGTATTATCTCCGCCCCTACTCTTCAATAGATCTCTTCTATACCCCCTTATATATCTGTCTCCCCTTTCTCCCTATCACCCCTCATCTCTCTCTCTCTCTCTCTCTCTCCCTCTCTCTCTCTCTCTCCCCCCTCTCTATCTCTCCTTTTATATACACTCCTTTCTTCACTTTCATAGTCTTTCTGTCTGAAACCTTTTTGTCGACTATTTTATTTGTTTTAATATAAAAGAATGTTATTTTTTTTCTGTTGAGTTAATACAACACACTGTACACAAAATTACAAGTATATCTTTCAGGAAACCTGAATGATTATGCCAAGCCAAGGCCCCTTTTTTCCACTTACAAACCAATACATTTTTTCATTTGAATGGATTTTTGTTTTCGTCTTTGAGTATAACCTATTGTGAATGCATAATCATGTCGTCACTTGAAGCTTTAATATATTTGTGTCACCATTCAAAGTGAGAACAAATAATGAAACTGATATATGGGCATAAACCGTCAAGCGCCACCTCTCGGCGAATGGAAGGAAAGGGGAAGGTGGGTTGAAGTTATTTCAGGGGATTGAACAAAACGTTGACCATCAATGTGAACGCGTCCTGTACCAGCCTGTACATATGAACCATTAAAGTTGACATATAGTTCAGGCTCTCGTTCCGAGAATTACGGGTCTGTGGCTTTCAAATAAGAGTTTGATTTAAAGAGGGAGAGTACTTGACAGTTTCGGATATACAAAATTAGCAGATCCAGTTCTTATACTTGGAAAGAAAACTAGAAAAAGGGAGAAAAAACGATTTCTTTCCCAAATTTTTCATGAAAACGGTATATTAACCTCTGCAGCTGCCTTTCTTTAAACCTGCTCCTATTACATTCGACTGGTTCTTGCACATTCATAATTTGATGTGATTCAAAACTACAGACCGAACTAAGGGGAACTTGGTTACCATTCGCTTTTTAAATCTCGTATATTATTTGTCAAAGTGCAGTTATGAACAGTGACGGGAATTACACGTTAAATACCGCCATGTCTGAAGTTTATCACAATCAGACGGATGATGTCAGCTACGGAGGACGCATTGTAATCTCCATCTATTTTCTCCTGGTCTCTGTTTGTGGAATCATTGGCAATTTGATCATATTAATTGTCCTCTTCAAGATCCCGAAGATGCGGACACACACCAACATCTTCATCGGGAGCCTGGCAGTCAGTGATATCTCAACTTGCTCCGTGCTACCATTCCTAGTTGCGGGCATCCTCTCGAAGACGGGATGGCCGATGCCCAACTGGACATGCATCCTTACGACCATTTACCGTTTCGTCAGCCAAGGCAGCGGCACTTGGAACCTCGTCGTCATTGCCATCAACCGCGTCGTCCTCGTTACGATGTCGACGCGAGTATACCGGAAACTCTACAATCCTTGGACGATGACCGTCAACATCGCCTTCGTGTGGTTGTTTCCGCTCGCGTTGGTGGTGATACCGTACCTGACTGGCGCCATCGACATCGGGTTCGATTCCGGCCCCAACATCTGTAGCGATACGGACTTAGACAGAAATGGCAACCCAACAAATTTGTATCAACTCATTCAGGGGACTGCATTTTCTTGTATCCCTCTCTGCTTAGTGTTCATATGCTATGTACGCATTTACGTCTTCGTTCGATCGCATGTTCGTCGTCAGGAAAAAACGAACCCGAGTATGATATCGAAAATGTCATTGAGAACGGCATCGCAGGATCCAAGCTCGTCGACATCAGACCAGAAGGCAGACTCTGACACCCACACCAGGACTAAAAAGCAGAAGGTTTGTATTCCGTAATAGAGTGAAACATGTAGATAAAGACCACTGGAAGAAGGGAGATAAACCGTTCAACCTTAAATGTCCCATTTGCAGGCCAAAAAAAATGAAAAAGTTCAATTCCAACTGCATTTGAAAGATAATACTAATTTAGAACCTCCCTAAAAAAGGTGGGCTTGAAAATGTCTTCAAGTGGGAAGATATTGACTATTAGTTGTCAAATCGACTTTAGGGCTATAGAGCCCAAAAGTAATAGTCTTGAATTTCAGACAATTGTACCAAATGGTCATACGTTTTTATGCTGCGCAAAGATTCAATCAGTTTAATCTTGGCCATCACAAGAAGTGGGTTATTGATGTAGACAAATGCTCATGTACCCTTTACAACTCTTTTCATGTATGTTATTACCAAAGAAGAAAAAAAGCCAGTCAGTCACTCAATAGTGTCTGACAGTGAAGTCTAGCAAGTAAACGGGTTTCCTTGCATAATTTGAATATGAGGACACTGCCAACGTTTAAATTTCACATACATGACATATTCATAATTCATGCAAAATTCTACAGAATTTGAGGTTGGCTGCAAAAGGGACATAGTACCTTTAAAGGGATAGTTGAGTTCTGTTGCAGAGGGCACTACACAATATAATTTTTTTGTGAGATAATGAAAAACTGAGTGTCAAATTTGAAAGAACATAATATTTAAATGACAAATTCATCTTTGTTTAATCAAAATCGGTTCAGAGACTGCTGAAATATAACGATTTCTAATACTTGTGTACCACCACAAATATTAGATATTTTGAAAAATTTGAAAAAAAAACCATTGGAAAAAAAGAAATAACGCCTTTTACGTCGTATTTCAGCCAATGCCGATGTTGGCTTTTTGTTGGCATTTTCGTGTTGCTTATATTACCCACAATTAGCCGGCTCACGTATTGTTATTTTTAATTAAATAATTAATTAACGGTCACCGCGTTTTTGTTTAAAATGGAGCTGAATTAGTATGATCGTATTGGCTAAATTTCACACATTTTGGGGTCTGAAATGACCTTCATAGCAAGTTTAGGTTCTAAAAAGGCACTATAAATGACATAGATAAGAATAAGAGCAATAACCATGCACTTTGAGGGCATTTGCGGTCTGAAAACAGAACTCAACTATCCCTTTAATAAGCATGTGGTCTTTCTGTACAGGTTAATTTAATACAGTTTCAAATGATAAATACATGTACCTTTCAAGGGAAACGACACATAATGGTCTTCATATACATCTGCTCTTTCCAGAGACAGTGTTATAGACACTGCGCTGATATTTCTAAACAGGTGGTAGGCTAGCTAATGCAAGTTTCACGGTACTAGCTATAGGTCAAAGATCTCACCTGCAATTGAAACCCCAGGCCCAAGAAAACCCATGCACTTTACCCCTTAAAGCGAAACCCGAGCTCTGGAAGAGGAATCGTATTTTGAGAGAAAGTTGCTATGATGTATTCTGGATTGTTTATCCCGCAGTTTGGACCAGTGAAATAAAACAAAATTCACTCAAACTTAAGCGGGACTGCACTACTTGTAGGTAGGCCTACTAGCGCCCTCTGTATAGCAAGCAATGCCTAATAGCGATGCCCGTTGGTTCCCCATGACCCTCTTTTTCTTATGTTCATTGAGAGCTGATTTGGTGAGATAACCACCTGTCAGTACCTTGCAGGGAGGTCTAATCCATCATGACCAAACTAGTGCAGACGGGCTTTAAAATCCTCTTCGATAAAAACCACAACTCCCATTTGCACATTCAAACTTACCCGGATTTCCTTATCTTTGTATGCTCAATACTCAGCCACTAGATTCTGTGATAATTTTTTTCTACATTTACCAGAACTCAAGTTTATCTTTAAGTTAACTTATACACATGTTCAATCAAATTAACGAAAATGTAAGCCTAACCGTAACCCTCGAGTTGATCTCGATATGATGATGATGATAATCATCATCATCATCATCATCATCATCATCATCATCATTATGGTAATGTTAATAACAATAAAAACAACAATAAGAATAATAACAAATATGATTATAAAACTGGTAACCCCTTCCCTGCAGTTGAAACGTCATTCGTCAAATGATACACCACCGAGTCTACTTAATGCGAAATTCACACTGGTAGACCGATGTTGACTTAGAAAACTAATATACTCTTCAAACATTCCGTTCCTCATCGCCACTTATAATGAACAGGATTTAAACATAATACATGTAGTGAAAATATATACATGTACCAGCATGTTCATAGAAGTAGTAGTATTAGTATTACTAGGAGTAGTAGTAGTAGTAGTCTAGGTAGTAGTAGTAGTAGTAGTAGTAGTAGTAGTAGTAGTAGTAGTAGTAGTAGTAGTGGTAGTAGTAGTAGTAGTAGTAGTAGTAGTAGTAGTAGTAGTAGTAGTAGAAGAAGTAGTAGTAGTAGTAGTAGTAGTAGTAGTAGTAGTAGTAGTTGTAGTAGTAGTAGTAGTAGTAGTAGTAGTGGTAGTGGTAGTGGTAGTGGTAGTGGTAGTAGTAGTAGTAGTGCAAGTAGTAGTAGTGGAAATAGTAGTAGTAGTAGTAGTAGTAGTTGTAGTAGTAGTAGCAGTAGTAGTAGTAGTAGTAGTAGTAGTAGTAGTAGTAGTAGTAGTAGTAGTAGTAGTAGTGGTTATACTTAAAAGGCGCCTGAAAATCATTATAATCCTCTTCTTTATTAATATTTTTTTTTGGGGGGGGGGGTTGCAGAGATTTTTTGGACTCCTCCACTAGTTCAGGAGAATCCTGGATCTATCACTGATCAAAGAAGTGCTAAGCTAGCTGAAATTTCATATTGTTCAAGTGGTTTTTCTGATACACCTGGTAGTGTCAAGGATATATTATACTGCCTTCTGAAGGTCGTAGACCTGACGACTTGGGCAGACCTTGGAGATCAAATCTAGCAGAGCTAGGTGTTAAGGAGAAATATCTACGACCCCTCCCCCCTCCTCCCCCGTCATTCCCGAATAGAAACGCACCCAGATACATTCCATGCTTTTAGATGCAATGATCTGAAACTACCTCTGATTTATTTTTCATTATCTTCTGCTATTATGTGGCACATTAACGAATGCTCTTTTGTAATTTACCCATTCGCCATGATATATTGCCTGTCTCCGTCGTGCGCATTTTACTAAAAGCTTAATTTGTCATCAGTAAATATTTACATCTTTCCGGAGAATCCTTGTCGTCCCGCGTGTCGCTCAATGAGTTTTGCTATCGTCAGTGATACATTTCGTGTAGTTCTTGAATAATGTGCTTGGGCATGCTTCGTGTTATAACATCTACGTACGTTCTTCTGTTCGGCTACCATTCTCGAATAATCAATCACTATGCCTCTCTTCTTGGACCATGCCAAATAGATGATTTTTTTTCCTTCTCATTCTCTTTCGAGGCATTTATTAGCAATAGCATATATACACTGTTGGTCATTATGGTGGAATAATTATTTTTACCCCAATTTATGGACTGATTTTGACAATAATTTATTCCTAATAGATCTAGATAATAGTATACATTCTCAGATTTTATTAAATATTAATGTGTGAGTGTTTGTTATGCGTTACTGCTAAAGCATGTGTGTGATACTATGCTAATCAACTAGGGGACCTACGTCCTTAAGTCATAACAGACAGTAATGAGGATTAATGCCTCATAAAAGGGCACTAATATAGCACATCGACACGGTTTTTATTCCGGGGCCTCACAGTAACGAGGCCCTTGCTTAGCCACTGAATCATGACTGTACGCAGCGGAGGCTAGGGTACGTCGCCGCCCCCACAAATACGAAGAAACAAAGAAAATGCAATGAATTATCAATAATTCATTGCATTTTGCCCCGACCCCCCAGCATAAACAAATTCTCTATATGGACATGCCTTGAACCATAATGCATGGCCCTACAAAGGATTTTTTCCTGTTTGGAATTGGGGGATAATGCAATGAATTATTGATAATTTATTGCATTTTCTTTGTATTTTGTATTTGTGGGGGCGGCGACGTACCCTAGCCCCCGTTGCGTACAGTCTTGATTCAGTGGCTAAGCAATGGCCTCGTTACTGTAAGACCCCAGAATAAAAACCGTGTCGATCATCTATATTAGTGCCCTTTTATGAGGCATTAATCCTCATTACTGTCAGTTATGACTTAAGGACGTAGGTCCCCTAGTTGATTAGCATAGTAGCACACACATGCTTTAGCAGTCACGCAAAACAAAAACTCGCAAATTAATATTCAATGAAATCTGAGAATGTATAATATCATTTAGATCTATTAGGAATAAATCATCGTCAAAATCATTCCATAAATTGGGGTAAAAATAATTATTCCGCCTTTATGACCAACAGTGTACATACAATACAAAATAAATCAAAGTTTTACAGCAACCATTGATAGAAATTTTTGAACTTCACCTTTTTTTCCAAATTTACAGTTACTTACACTTTCCAAATATGATTTCACCACAAACTGTAAATCAACCCATAAAGAATTTGCGTTGTATTTTTTACCTTTAAATGAATATTTTATATAATTTCGGTATACTGTATATTGTGCTAAGTTACAAATAGGATTTAACATATCGTAGTAAGTTTCATCGTCCACTTTATAGCCTATCACCTATGCCAAATAGATGATGATGATGATGATAATGATAATGAATGATTGCGATGAGGATGATTATAGTGATGATTGGGGATAATAACGATGATGATGATGATGCCAATGATGGTTTTAGTGATGATTGATGATGATGATGATGATGAGGATGTTGATTAAAGTGATGATTGATGGTAATTATGATGGTGAGGACGATGGGGATGACGGTAGTTACGATGACGACGACAAACTACGACGACCACGGTGCTAATGATGACGGCCCAAGAGTATTCTTGTAGTGGTGGAACTTTGGGGGAGGGGTACGTACCAGTATCCCCAGCCTATGAGTTCGGTGAACCCATAAGATGGCAAAATAAAAAAGAGATAGAGAGGTGCGCGTGTGTGCGTGTGGGCGATGCGTTTGGGTGTGCGTTTGCGTGTGTGTGTGTGTGTGTTTTTTTGTCTGTCTGGCTTTGTTCAAAACACTATTTTACGCACCCAGCAACTTGGCGCAAGTGAGATTTGGCAGATTGTCTGATGTTCAGTCATGCATGCAGAGATTCAAATGAAAATGGTTCCTAAATGAACTGGGAAGATAACTCTATCAAGACATTTCATGAAACCCATGATTAAATATTCATACTTCAAACAATACAACTTTTAAAAAGTGGGACATTTTTTCTGACTCACTCTGTATAGCAAATTGTCATATTTACATTGTTGTGATAATAATAACAGTGTAGCTCTTCTCTTGTTAATGTAGATACGATCTATAAGTTGCTTTCAATGTTCAAGGTGGTATAAGAGGGCACACAAACTAAATAAAACCAACTAGCTCTAATCTGAAGCGGAAACCAAAGCAATATCCGCCATCTCATGTTCACGAGGAAGAAAAGGGAATTTCATATTCAGTAGGAAAAATATTTTAGTCATTTAACCGGGCTCGTGTATTGGCAGAACCAGTTGAACAACGATCAAAAGAATGGTCGATTGCCTTCTTCCGCGTTTTCTTCACTATTTTTCATTTAGGATTTTATTCTGCACGGTATGCATGCAACTAAGTTGACGTCTATCAAGCAGTGATATAGGCTTGTCCAATCTTTACAATGAGAAGGGAAAAGCAGGACATTACACTTTTCATTGTACTTTTTATGTGTCTGAATGTGTTGATTTTGTTGCAAAATATCACCTGGAAAGATTTTATTTGATGACGCAGCCTTGTTCCTGGAAATTGACATTTGCTAAAGTTCGTACTCCGGATTACCATGACCAGAAGATCTACCGTGAGCAAGCCAATTCAGATTCAGCTGTCAATGTGGTTTCGAGTGGGGTAACTTCGTTAATCTTCAGCCAAATATTGGAAGGAATTATAAGTTGTCGTTGTATATTGATCGTCATTATTTGTATTAGAGTGCAATTATCATGAATGGCTCGTTAGCCACCGTGATGAATGAAATGGATGTCAACCAAACTGATATAAATGACGTTAACTATGAAGGACGCATTGTAATCTCAATCTATTTCATCTTAGTCTCAATATTCGGATTCATCGGCAATTTGATCATATTGATAGTGCTCATCAAGATCCCTAAGATGCGGACTGTACACACCAACATCTTCATCGGTAGCCTAGCCGCCAGTGATCTCACAACTTGCTTGATGCTGCCGTTCCTAGTGGTGGGTCTCGTCTCCAAGACGGGTTGGCCGCTGTCCGATTGGATTTGCATCGCAACCTCCATTCTCCGATTCACCTGCCAGGGTAGTAGCGTGTGGAGCCTTGGCGCCATCGCTATCAACCGCCTTGTCCTCGTGACGATGTCGACACGCATTTACCGGTATCTCTATCAGCCCTCAACCATTGTCATCAACATCGCATTCGTGTGGTTGTTCCCATTAATGTGCGTAGTCATACCTCACCTTACTGGCGACATCGTCATTGGATTCGATTCCGGTCCAAACATCTGTAGCGATACGGATTTCGACCAGGATGGCAATCCATCAAACACGTTTCTGTGGATTCAAGGGCTAGTCCTATCCTGTCTACCTATCTGCATAGTCTTCACATGCTACGTGCGGATTTACATCTTCATCCGATTGCACATTCGTCGTCAGAAAAAAAGCAATCCGAGTACGGTGACCTTGAAGAGCGTGACGAGACTGACAACGCCAGAGCCAAGCTCGTCGACATCAGACCAGAAGACAGAGAATAACTCGAGTACCATGAATAACCGGCCCCCCAAACCGCAGGTCTGTATATTTGTTACAGTAGCTAGGCGCCACGAAGAGGCATTTCTGGGGGGCTTTTCACAAAACTTGTCATCAGTCTAAAATGACAGTTTTTGTTATAAACTACTGAAATCCTTGCTTCTGATTGGTTATCAACAGATTTGTCACTCTTTTTTGTCATTTGTCTTTGAAAAAAAGCCTATCTAGCCTATCCGATAGTAATACTATTTTTTTTAATTAACAAACAGTAGATAAATTATCATTTAATTTCCACGTAATTTCATATAGATACGGGTGGTTATGCGCATGGAAGCTAAACGTGTAGCATATTATGTAGATAAACCAGGGACATCTTTAATGAAGATGTGCTGTTTCTCTCGTGTGTCTAGTTATGGTGACGTTTGATATGTGCCTTTTACATCAGCGCTTATAATGTAGGACCAGCCCCCCTCCAATTAATTGCAAGCCATCGACTATGCATAATTATAGCCAATTAAATATTACTGGACGAAGACGAGAAATAACAAGAACAAGAACAAGAATATCAAGAACAAGAACAAGAATGCCAAGAAGAAGAACATGAAGAAGAAAAAAGATGAAGAAGAAGAAGAGGAGAAAAAAGAAGGAAAAAAAAAGAAGAAAGAGAATGCATGCACAAAACATAGGGAATAATTGCTACCCCTCGTGGTGACCCTATTATGACCATGAACTTCCACATTACATTCAATAATTGTGACGCAGAAAGCTTTGTTAAAACAAGAATGAAAATCTCAGCTTACAGATCCATGGCAGAATTGCCCGTAAAATTGTTAAAAGTGATATCACTCTCCATTCACCGCCAATCAACGGGTACTTTAATGACCAAGATTGTACGATAATGAAAAATTGTTGGCGTAGTTAACGGGGGGAGATATGAGTACAAGAAAGTTAAACAGGATGTGAAATTTAACGTTGACCTATATAAATGGAAAATTAAGGGGAAATGGAAAATAAACCATGGTCTATACTTAGTGAGAAATACAATCCGACGTCAAATATTAACCTCAAAGATTCGTCCTGTTTTAATGATAATGAAAATAATATGTTTTATATAGCACGGTAAAATATTTTCTATGAAAAGGGAACTGCTTTTTTTTTTTTTGATTTCCTAAAATAAACAATTCGATCTTGCAAACATCTGGCCGCTAGGCACACACATCTGACTGCTTGACAAGCCAGTGAGACAAACTTCTGTATCGTGTGGAAATCAATTCGTGACATTCCAACACCATAATATTTTTTTTGTGCTCAGATTTCAAGTTCAAGTTCATTTTACTTTCATTTCTCGTATAAGAAAGTATATTTAACAATACATTATACATACATAAGCAAATATATAAATAATACAAAGAATATGGAGGAGCCAGCAGAGGGGCCATTGGCCTTTCAAAGGCTGGGCTCCAATGTCCGCATATAATAATACAAGTAAAGAGAAAAGAAACAATGGGTAGTATTTAAATAAACGAATGATTACAGGCTAATTAAATTATAAATAAAATAGAAATTCCTTCATCAAATAATTTTTGTATTTACGTTTAAATGAGGCAAGAGATGGGCACATTTTTATATCGGTAGGTATTGCATTCCAAGTAATTACTCCGGAATACTTTACTGATCTACGTGAAGTATGGTATTTCAACAATGGAATATATAAATCATTAGCATGTCTTGTGTAATGTGGATGAACATCCTTCATTATTTTGAACATATTATCGAAAATAGAAGGTAACATATTATTATTGTACATATACATAAATGATCCAACTTGCAATTCATGTATTCGAAATATGGTAAGTACATTTAATTTCCTAAAAAGCGGTTCAGATGGAGTTCTGGGGTGAGATTTTGTAATTGCACGTAGTGCTCTTTTCTGTAAAACATAAACTTGATTCAGTAAAGTTTTTTTTTAATGATAAATATTGGCCAATTTTTGTATAGACGAAATAGAATTGATTGGTAAGTAGTGAGATAATTTATCAAAGAATATTAATTCAAACTGATTTATACGCTTCTTCGTACCGATCGGATTTCTGTTATCAGAGCTATATCAATCATTTTTTTTCCCTTTCTTACAATCTTCACTCTCTAGAAGCCTATATAACACCATTACCAACAATAACAGCAGCTACAACACAACTACGTACAGTATATCAACACATCTACGTACAGTATATATCAACACTACTACTACTAGTAGTAGTAATAATGATAATGGTGACAATAACAGTGATAATGATAATCCTAATAATGATGATAATAATGATGATAATAATAATGATAATGATAAAAATAACAATGATAACAATGGTGATAATAAAATATGATTAAAAAGTGATTATAGTAATGATAAATATAATAATTTGAATAATAATGATAATAATAGCACAATTATGATATCATTTATACTACGCCTAAGAGATGAAACATCAACAATGACATGAAACCTGTATTATTTTCATAATGATTATAACAGGTTATGATCACCTACTATCAATACTACATACTACATACATACTACATACTATCAATGATGATAAAACAAGAAGCCTTTCCAATCAATATCCTAGATATTTGTGCAATAAATGTTTCTCCTGTTCATGAAATAAAATAAAATGCTATGTCAGGAGTGGGGTTCGAACCCACGCCTCTATACAGAGACCAGAACACCCAATAGACTCTCGCTGATTTCGAGAGAAGGTTATCAACCTTGAGTCTGGCGCCTTAGACCACTCGGCCATCCTGACACTACGTTAATATCGAAATCAACAATGGCATCATTACTTATAATAGTAGTAGGAGGTGATGTATGATGATGATGATAATAATATTAACACTAATAAAGATAATAATGATAGTGATGATAACGATGATAACGATATGATAATTATGACAATATCATTTATACTAAGAGATGAAACTTCAACAATGACATAAAACCTGTATTATTTTCATAATGATTATAACAGGTTATGATCACCTAGATATCAAAAGATATAACAATACTATCAATAATGATAAAACGAGAAGCCATTCCAATCGATATCCTAGATATTTGTGCACTTTATGTATCTCCTGATCTTGAAATAAAAATAAAATGCTATGTCAGGAGTGGGGTTCGAACCCACGCCTCTATACAGAGACCAGAACACCCAATAGACTCTCGCTGGTTTTGAGAGAAGGTGACCACCCTTGAGTCTGGCGCCTTAGACCACTCGGCCATCCTGACACTGCGTTAATATCACGATCAACAATCGAATCATTATCTATAATAGTAGTAGGACGAGAACAAAGAGGAGGGAAAGGAGTAGAAGTCCAAGGGGTGATACCAGGATGTAACGTCTCCGAGAGCCTATAAAAACAACTATGCCACACATCACGACACCAATTTCCACCAATCAGATGGCTAGATTTCTAAAGAGAGGTACTCTCTATAACAAAATTGAGTGATCACTGACGTCACTCCCCTGGAGAGTGAAAATGTAGTGAAAATAGAGTGAACATTCACTCTTTTCTTAGAGAGCACTCTAAAATCAATCGATATTCACTCCTAAACAAGTAATCCCTGACGTCACTCCCGAGAAAGTAAAAAGTCACTCTTTTTTCTTTAGAGAGTATAATATGATATTATATCATATGTTATAAGAAGCTCCCCAAAACGCAATCCTCGACATCAGTGCACTATGAACCTGTCGATGAACAAAATAAAAGCTATGTCAGGAGTGGGGTTCGAACCCACGCCTCTATACAGAGACCAGAACACCCAATACGACTCTCATTGATTTCGAGAGAAGGTTATCAACCTTGAGTCTGGCGCCTTAGACCACTCGGCCATCCTGACATGACGATGTCAAGCAATGTAGTATATATATATACAATGTTTTTATTTTGCCACATGATGTTGAATTTTTTTTCTCTCGATGCATTGAGAGGTAATAGAGGCATAGCCAAAGCAATGGCACATGTTTATCTGGACAAGTAATATCTAGCAAACTTTTAGGAAGTGTACGAAGGTTTTCATAATATGGAATGATAGTGCATAGAATCCTTTCATTATATAGCTGTATATGGTCGATGTTTTCGTTTTGTATTGTTTCTTTGTTTCTTTGTCCTATGTGCAGTTTCTAATCATGACCTTGTCTCTTTGTCCTTTCGCAGGCTGGAGGTCTAAAATCCAGGCTGAAATCAATGACCCTTCGGCGCAATCTCAGCCAACTAGAATCTCGCATCACCAAGAACTGTTTCTACGTATTCCTCGGGTTCCTACTCTGCGTCATCCCCTACGGCATCTTCATCCTTGCAGACATCGGGGTTGAGGGCGCCCCACTTGCTCTCGTCTTTCTAGTCTTCAATACCTGCCTCAACCCTATCATCTACGGAACCAAACACCCTCATTTTAAAGCTGCAATTTGGAACATTCTCACTGCAAGGTTTAGTAGGGATTCGAACATCCCTGGAACAAGTGGGACCAAACAAAATGAGAACAATGTTTTCGGTAGTAGGTCCCAGGCCGATACTAATAGAATCAATCATTCACAGGACTTAATGCAGTCAGCAGACTCAGCACTGTAGAGTGTAAAGTCACCTCTCATTTTCCGTCGATCCAGGGATGGAGCTCCTAGCTTGCCTTGTAGAATTTCGAATGACATCCCTGGTTCCGATTTAAGATTGTCGGCAAAGATCGACTTTTAGAACCTCGTATAGAAAATCGCCAAATCTCAATTTGAGAATTTAAGTGTCTAGCGAAAACAACCAAAACCCGCTGTACACCAAGCGTTAGTTTTGAGTTTAGGTAGTGGCGAAAGATAAGTATCAAAGCGTACGATGTTTTTAATCATACAATATTATCTATCAAAACTAAAATTGACTTATATCTGTCTTTGAAATATATAAATTAAAGAAAATATAGAATGATGAATGAGTAATGAACCTAGAAATAGTAAAGATGATTGGATATGCTGTCCAATGTGTTCACATCCGCGTTAGTTCTTTTCCTGTGTGTGTGTGTAATTGGGTTTTTACAGACGTGTATCAATCAGATATGATTATTTACGTCTGGGGACCGACCTTTAACGTCACCATCCGAAAGACGTGACTCATTTTCGAACCTGCGTCCTCGGCTGAATCAGTTTGTAACTTCCACTGTTAGCTGGATTACGGGCGCACGCCACAAAGCCTAGTTTCGTTTCCTTGTGATCTGTGTGGTTTTTATTTCAAAATATTCATTGCAATTTTCTGTTAAAGCAATTATCCCTAATAATTGATCATTGTGAAAGTGTACAACGTGTTACATAGTTCAGAATTAATTTCAGACAGTTTTTACTGAAATGAAATGTCTTAACCAGAACTCAAATGATCATACTTCCTAAATTTTTCTCTCGGTCGTCCAGAACCAATTCACCGGATCTTGATAATGTGAAAGGTTATGACCTTTCTTCTTCTTCTTCCGCTTTTCTTTCCGATACACCAGTTTGTGGCACTGTTCTCAATCAGACTCTAGTTGTACAGACTCTCAGTTTACAATTAAATATCTACTTTTTATTCATTGTTGTTAATTTGTATTTTGTACATTACAATAATTCTTTTTTTTCTTTTTTTTTCTTATTCTTCATGTTTTGATTTGATTCGTTTATTTTGCATATGTTTATGTTTTGTTATCTTTTGCTACTGGTTTTTGTGTGTAATATAATTTGTATATTTTTCATTCAGCTAACACGGACTTTCGGGAAAACAGCCGTTTATGCTGAGAAAGTTACCGTGTTTAAATAAATGAAATGAAATTCTCTACAATTTGTGTACGTAGAGATCAGTGGTCTGTGGACGAAGCCGCGTGTGCATGAGGATATGGGTGGTGGCTGACATTTGTGTGCGTGTGGGAGGTGTGTGTTTATATAATGTATTTGAAAGACCTTTTGATATCTTATTCCACCTACATATATTTATAGCTGCTGTTGCAATACGATTCCTTAATTATCTAAGATAGTATTATAAAAGGTTGGTCTATTTCATCTAAAGGATTATTATTATATACTGTATTTACTCATAGCTATTTATATAAGAATTGTGATGACTTCTGTATGTTGCATGAGTTGTGTTTTTATAATCACGTCTTGTACAAGAAAAGAACTCTTACTTGACGCAACATATTACGACTTTTGGCAAGTTACTATCAACCGTTGACTACGCTATTATTTTGTACAATATTGGATCATGAGTGTTGGTATTTTTATGTACAAATCTTGTGTTTAGGCCTATGTTTGTTTGGCTGCGTTCATGCTTAAATTTTGAAGGCAGAATGAGCGATCTGAAACGCTCATCGTAAACGCTCATCGTGATCGCAGTTCCACGATGTAGTGTTCATGCTTACTTCTCCTGGCAATTCTCCTTGGGTGGCCTTCAGCTCGATTCGCAAACCTGTGTGGCATGCTACGTAGACCCACTAGAGGTCAGTGCGTTGACCCCATTTAAACGCGTTTACAAATTGTAAACGCATCTTTTTGTGAGTTTACGATCGGCGATCGTGATCGCCGTTTTTCGGTGATTCTACAAAAGTGAGCATGAACGCAAGCGTGTTTTAAACTAAACGCGTAACAGATGCCTGATTCTGGCCGTCAAAATCAAGCATGAACGCGCCCTTTGTAAGATGTATATAACATGAAAGGTACTTTTAGTGATGATGTAGGATATTTTACTCAACTCTATTTATATAAAAATTGCGATGATTCGTGAATGCTGCATTTAGTTGCGTTTTTGAAATCATCTGTCTTGTAAAAGAAAAGAACTTTTTTTTGACACAATATTTTACGACTTTTGGAAAGTTATTATCAATCACTAACTACGCTATTATTTTGTATAATAATGGATCATAAATTTTTGGTATTTGTATTTACAAATCATGTGTATATGTTTGTTTGTTTGTTACATATACGTGTACATTTGTGTGTATCTGGGTTTCTTAAACTGCATGTATAGAACATAAATGGTACTTTTAGTAGGACTTCGATTTTACTTTTTAGAGGGATATTGCAAGGAGGAATAAAGGTATGATTTTAGAACAGTTCACCTTTACAAGATATTAGACATGGTGAAATTACGTAGGGTATATCTTAGGCCCAAGGCTATATTATACGCTTTCGACTGATATTCTTATTTGAGTGTTTTGTGAAAATCAATCTTCCATACAGGGTTTCAGTACTTCTTGGCCCGTTGATACCCTCGGTAATTCAGGGAAGCTGAGGGACTACTAATTCTAAGTTCTTTTTTTGCGGACGGGGTGTGGCTAAAAATATGACCCGAATTTAGAATTCCCATCAAATTTCTAAATATCTTCTTTTTTTTTGGGGGGGGGATGGGTGGAAATGGTAGTACACGTAGGTGGAGGATAAAGTGGAGGAAAAGGACGATTAGTCGTAATGATGATGATGATAATAATAACAATGATAATGATGATTTTAATGATAGTGATGATGATGGTGACAAGAATAATGATAATTATAATAATAATAGTGATGATAGTGATGATGATGATGATGTTTTAACATGGAATTCACATATAAAATCTGTTAATAACTGTATACGGAGAAAGGTCGGTATCCTCTTTAAATTACGGCACTTTGTCCCTAAACATAATAAATTGATAATGTTGTATATAAAGCTCTGATACATCCACACAGGCGCGTACGCAGGATTTTTTAAGGGGGGGGGGTTAACATTTATAAATCGGGCCGAAAATTTCGCAACGACTCAGCCAGCCGCTGAATAAGCGGGGGGGGGGGGGGGGGGGGGGGGGGGTAAGAGGACACTTTTTTTTTTTTTTTTTTTGGTCTCGAAATTTGGAAATTTGACATTTTGCTCCGTTGGGGGGGGGGGGGTAAGGTCTCCTTTTTTAGGTCAGCCATGGGAATATTTTTTTATTTTATTTTTTGTTTACAAAAAAACAAAAAACAAAACAAAACAAAGGGGGGGGGGTTTAGGGGGGTTTATACACATTAACATACCAAGGGGGGGGGGGTTAACCCCCCAAACACCCCCCCCCCCCCCTGCGTACGCGCCTGCATCCACATATTATAATATATGGCATCGAGGTTTGGGGTAGTATTATAAATCACACTTGAATATTTTATACTCAAAGATGGCTGTATACGTGCTATAACTTTCAAACCACATCGTTCTCATACTAATGCGCTGTTTCATGTCCTCAAATTGTTGAATGTTTATAGAATGCATAAATTATCTATTTGTACTTTTGTGTTTGATTTGATAAATGAACGATTACCTCATTACAATTACGCCTTCCTTTATGAAAAACAGACCAAGGTAAGTTTTCTGTTTCGTTTGTTGGAAGTAATTTTTGGAATATGCTTCCTACTGATCTAAGAATTGAGAGATCAAGAACCTCTTTTCGTAAAAAACTTACAAAATTACTCTTGGGTGAAAACCACGAATTATAACCTTGTTACTATATAAATGTGTATAGCAACCAGTCCAGTGTTTTTAAATAGTGATATTATACAAGAATCTCATTTATAGGATTTCGAAACACATTGTGTATTTTTCAATAAACTTTTGTTCAGGCTTTAGATAACGAGACTCTATTTTACCATCGATCACAAACTCATTGTAAATAGTCATTTATTGTTTTACTCTTGACACTAAATTGTTTATATTTTTTGTATCAATGTATATCGCTGTAGAACATGTATTTTTATAATTCATTGCATGTATTTATGTTATATTGAAATTGTCATTGTACATTTATATATCTTTTGTTTCAATGTTTCAAAGTTGGTGAATAAATAGCGTCAATTCAATTCAATGATGACAATGATAACAAAAGTCTATAATTACAGTAAAATCACAAATAGTAACGATAACGATGAAGTACTATAAAATATTGATGAAAATGACGCTATCAATAATAATATTCTATAAAAAGGTTCCCAAAATGGCAATCCTCGACATTGTCAATAAACAAAATAAAATGCTATGTCAGGAGTGGGGTTCGAACCCACGCCTCTATACAGAGACCAGAACACCCAATAGACTCTCGCTGGTTTCGAGAGAAGGTTATCACCCTTGAGTCTGGCGCCTTAGACCACTCGGCCATCCTGACACTGGATTCGTATCATCATCAACAATGGCATCATTACCAATAATGGTAGAAGGAGCAGGAGGACAAAGAGGAGAACAGGACTAGAAGTCGTAATAATGATGATGATGATTATTATGATAATGATAGTGACAATGATAACAAAATAATTATAAGTCTATAATTACAGTAAAATTACAAATAGTGACGATAATGATGATGTACTAAACTATCGATGAAAATAGCGCTATCAATATAAATACTCTTATATAAAGATGTTCCCAAATGGCAATCGTCGACATAGGTGCACTATGACCCTGTCAATGAACAAAGCAAAAAGATATGTCAGGAGTGGGGTTCGAACCCACGCCTTTATACAGAGACCAGAACACCCAATACGACTCTCACTGGTTTCGAGAGAAGGTAACCACCCTTGAGTCTGGCGCCTTAGACCACTCGGCCATCCTGACACATTGTACACCTTGGAAAGCAGTATACATTAATTTGTTTTTATTTTCCCACACGATGGTACTAAATGTATACATTGTTGCCCATGAAGTTGGAGTAATCTTTTTAAACCGCTTTTTCATGAAGTCATTATGAGAGCATAATTTATTCTTGGTAAACAAATATTATCTTCTTAAAAATTTATTGATCAATAATATATTGAAAGTCGTAAAAATATCTATTTGGTATTCAATTTGAGGGAATAATTGATCTGTGGACAATTTCAAGATTAAGATTAAGGTTGATAAACGGTTTGGTATGGGCATGATAATATCATGAGTTTAGGGACAGAGTAAGGGAAGGGTGAGCATTAGTTTTAAAAGTCCCCCCCCCCCTTCGCTATCGCAAGGGGGGGGGGGTGGCATACGCGGGCCGCTGACATTCTTCCTTTGCTCGCAAAGCATGCCCGAAATGTGGGATATTTTTGCAAGATTCCCATACCCCCGTCCTAACAACCATCCAACAAACA